TAGAAATAAATTATATAAATAGTGTTGGGTGAAATTAATTCATTATCCGGTCAATGTGATCATGTCACTGCAAAGTGAAAAGGATTGACGAACGGTCACTGTGATCATGTCGCTGCTAAGAAAGAAGGAGTGACGAATGGTCACTGTGATCATGTCATTGGCAAGAGGAAAGGAGTGACGAATGGTCATTGTGATCGTGTCGCTGATAGGAGAGTACGAATGACGAACGGTCATTGTGATCATGTACCTCAAAAGAATGGGAGTGACAAACGGTCACTAGAGAGAGTCTCAACATCGATTATTCGTCTTTTTCAATCGGTTTAACATTGACCAGTGGTTTATTATAAGTCGTTGGTTCATATTCTTGAATAAACCGTCTAGAAAAGTTGGAGCGACCGACCGACATGAGCTCCCAATTCAAAGGGAAATATGGAAAGACCGACCGACATATAAAACCTAATTCAATAAGAATTAGGATTGACATAACCCTATAAATATAGAAGTCCTAGAGCAAGGATGGACAGAAAAACACATACTACAAAACGCCCTAAAAGCTTTAATCCCGCAACAGAGAACCGAACGACCAGATCTCTTCGTACCTTCGCTCTCGCCAATCGTCGACGACTACCGAGCGACGGGCGATACCAACTTACTTTGATTTTCGATATTGATTGCCTGTAACTCAATATTCATTGATTAATAAAGATTTATCTCTTCTCGTCATTCCGTAGAACTATTCACGTACGAGCCGGTTAAAATTTGCCTAAACAATTAGTAATTATATTTCATTTAATTTTGTAGACTATTCAGATGGCTCCCCGGACAAAGATGTTCCACTACCGGGAGATGGTAGATCCGGACGGTACCGCTCCGTCCGCCTCAGCTACAGGGTCCGCCATCCTGGAGTCCTCGGAAACACAACGAATGGTTTCGCAACCGGTCGTTGTACCACAGCCTACACCGCCTCCACCACCACCAGCCGAACCAGCAGCACCAGCCCCAGCCGTAGCCCCGATACAGCCTGAACCGTATGCCTAATTTACGGTTTAGGATCTTCTACGACAACCAGGTCGTGAGAGTATGAAAAAACTCGATCCGGATCGAGCCCCGGGGACATTTTGGTACGAATTTTAATTTTTTTTCAAAATTTTTTTTAAAAGAGTAATATTTATAATTAATTGAAATATCTAACTAATTTTTTTTTACTGACTAGGTTTACGACCAACAACGCAGTCGGTCGTAACGTTGTCGACATCACCAAGGGGTTTTTCGTACAACCGCACACCAGCTGGAAGAAGCTGGATCAGGCAACTATTGACACTTGATTCAAGTGTTTCGCGGTAAGTAATTTAAATTACGATTTATGTTGTTATTTTTTATTTTTTACAATAATTACTAACTCTTTGTTTTTTTTGTTTCTAGCAAAACTAGCATTATGAAACTTCCGCACACGAACGTGTGGAGGCGGCCTTTAAAGAGAAGGTCAAGTTCCACCTCAACAACACCGTTTTCGACTGGAAGCGGAAGTGGGAGGTCAACGGCAACAAGGCCAAGCCGGCGCCAATGGCCGATACCGTCTAGGAGGGTCTGGTGCAATATTGGTTGACCCCGCACAACCAGACTATTGCCACCAAGTGTTCCTCATCCAGGTATTTTTGTAAATTAAATTAAAATATGTGTTTAAATTATAATATTATATAGATTTAATTAATTACAATTCTAATTACTATATTTTTCAAGAACGCTACTGACGATGTGGGAAATCGAAAAAACGTCCCACACACTTCCGGTCAGATTCTTTTCGCCGCGAGACGACTTATGATGGTAAATTTTTATTAATGAGTTTTTGTTTTAAAATAATTCTTATTTGTTTTATTAATAATTTCACTTTGATTTTATAGGTCGAAGAAAACGGGGGAGAACTTCCTCCGATAACGAAGGTCTTCGCCGAGACCCATAAGAAGAAGAACGGCGAATTCACGGATCCTCGGGCGGAGGAGATCTACACACCACCTGTGCGCGGATCGATGAGCGGCAGACGCAGCTCACTCAGCAGGCGCCTCCGACGTCTCCCGGAGGTAGCTCGGTCCAATCCACCCCGACACTCACGGTGGCGGAGATGGACCAGATCTTCGAAGAGGTAAGTGTATTCTTTTTCCTATTTAGTTTAATTTTAACTTTATATTGTACTTTTTTACATAAATTTTTTACATATTTTCAGGTTGTCCCTAAGAAGAAGGGCCAAATTTTAGGGATGGGATCCATCCGTGATATCGTAGTTGCTACGGCGACTAGTCATGTCCGGGCAGCGGATCCGCTTATCCGCCAGAAAATCCATCAGATGCGGACTCAGTATGAGACGAAGATCGACCAGTTGTATGGTCTCTTCGAGATTATGGGGGCCGACAACCCGTTGCTCATGGCGCAGTTAAACAGGGTGCAGGCAGCTGGAGTTGTCGGGTCATCTTCTTCATATTCTAGGAGGCAACCACCGGTGCAGACGGACGAGGAGATGTTCCGATCTCTCGGGGTTGATCCTCCTAGAGCTGGGGATCAGGCCTTACGACGCGTTTACGACGATCCTTTTACGTCGATATTACGACGAATTTAAACCGTTCTAGATTTTACGACGAAATGTCTTTTACGACGATGGTTTTACGACGATTTTGAAACCGTCGCTAGTTCATCGTAATAGGGCTATTACTACGAACTTACTACGGTTTTGGCCGTTGTAAAATAATGTTTTCTTGTAGTGAAAAAAAAACAAAATCTACTACATTTTAACGTTGAGAATCTAATTAAAAAAAAAAATAGAAGACCACTTTGGAATCAAATTTTCGTATTTGTAGTGGAAAATTGTTAAAAGCTTGATTTTTTTGGTTTAACACATAATTTAGAAACACCTTCACATTAAAAAAAAAAAAAAAGGAGAAGCAACCATGGATTCCATTGGTGGATTTCATCGAGAGGAAATAAATAGTAAACAATTTCTGGTATACGACCATCCAAATACCATCCAATGCCACAAACACAAAGCCTGACCTTCTCAAGCGAAACAACCAGCCGCAACCAGCTTCTTCAACCTCTTTTCTTATGCCCTGCTGCACGATGGTTAGACCAAGATTTGGTCATCATCCTGTACTTCCTTTGTATTGGTGCAACAATAAATATTTCAATGGCGATGCTGGGTGCAAAGGATGCAATATCTCAAATTTTGGTACAGACTATTATTTCTGTGAAGACCATCATTTCAAATACCACAAAAAATGCGTCGAGTCTCCACTTAAAATCAAATATCCTCTCCAACTTTATTTTGATTTTAGTGGCAGAAATAATGAGTGTTTATGTTGTGGAGAAACAGGGACAAATATGGTATATCATTGTTCCATTTGTCAGGTTTTCATGCATTCGATCTGCACGATGAAACCAATACCCTTTGTTATATACCAACCAAAAAGGCATGACCATCCCCTAACCTTTTTCCCTAGACAAACCTCTTTAACTTGCAATGTTTGTGGTTTGTTGAGAAAATTTTCTCCCACCTACGCGTGTCTCATATGCAACTTTGTAGCTCATAAAGATTGTATGTATTCCCCACATATTTTCAAGATATCACGTCACCACCATCGATCATATCTCCTACACTTCTTCTCTTCAATCAAGAGAGTGGTCTTGTAGAGTTGTCGTCAAAGGGTTGACTGCGATTATGGTGCATATACATGTGACAAATGTAGTGATTATGCTGTTCATTCAAGATGTGTTCTAGGAGAAAATGTATGGGATGGAGAAGAACTCGAAGGTGTACCAGAAGAAGATGATATAACACAAGATGCTAGCCCATTTGATATTATATCTGAAAGAGTAATATTTCATTTTCTTCATGACCATCATCTCCGGTTCGAGGTCAACATACTTTACAATGAAAACAGGCTTTGTCAAGCGTGTGTCCTTCCAATCTATGAAGGTAACTTATATTCTTGTATTGAATGTGAATTCGTCCTCCATAGAACATGTGGGATGACTCCCCGTAGAATACAAAATGCATTAGTTCGAGTGTGATGCTTGTGATCATGGTGGGTTTGTCTATGAATGTTACATAGGAGATTGCGCATTCGACTTAGATGTGAGGTGTGCTTTAATCTCTGAACTGTTTGATTACAAAGCTCATGAACATCCCTTGTTCCTAGCTTTAGACCAAATAAATAAACCCATATGTGAGGTATGCAAAAAAGAATGTCAGAAACAAATAAATTGCATCAAATGCAATTATATTCTATGTTTCAAGTGCGCTACTTTATCATATAAAGCAAGGTATAAACATGACAAACACTTTCTCACAATTTGATGTGGTGAAAAAAATAAATGAGAATGATTGTTGCGAGGTATGTGAACGTGATTTAAGAGATATAGATATACAAGTATTCTACTGGTGCAAGGAGTGTTGCACCACTTTTCATATTGAATGTTTATTTGGTGAAGTCTCATATATGAACCCTGGTCAATCTTACAGACTAAAGGGAGGGAGTTCCAAATTCTTGGCAAAAGCAATATTTCTCGACCATTTGCGATTTATATTGCAAGAACCGTTATCAAGACAAAGTATTTAAGGTAGACTGTCGCATAATCTCTTAACGGTTCTTTAGAAATATTTTTTCCTTCTTTTGTATTCATAAAACGAAGTTGTTTTCGTACATTAGGGTCATGTAAAGCTGATTAAATAAGGTTGTGAATATTCTGTAAAAGTAACCACTCCTTATAAAGGAAACGATATTCGTACTCGTTCTGGTTTTTAAAGATGTATCAACATCCACTCCCTTTTTTTCTCCTTTATATTTTGATAGTTATTTTCAGTAGCAATCCAATCAGTAAGAGATGTGGATAACTAAGAGCTTGCGTCGTAATATTTTTTGTTAAGTAGACTTGAGTCCTGATCTTGCCTGTTTATGATCTTCGCATTTCGGTTTGCAAGGAACTAATAATAACAATATCAATAGACTAGATTACCAAAAGCAAATCATTAAAGTAAATTTTTAATCTAAAAGCTCAAGCTTTATTTGTGGCTCTAAATAGCTGTCTACATTAGACCCAAGTTCCTAAAACCGAACAAAAACAAGAGAAAGACAGTGAAACATCATCATCATTCCGAGGTAAGACTTCACTTTGGCTCTTGCTGATTTGTTATTCGTTATATCATCTTTCTTAATTGGGGTCCGATTTCTCCATAGCTGCAAAGAAAAGGTATTTGAAAAGGATAAGCAAATTAACAAAAAGGATAAAGCAGAGAGCATGCGAAGCAAATGAACCAGGTAAGGAGATATTTACTGTTGTAGTTTAGAAGCTTTTCGATTAGATCGACATGAGTCATAAGCATACGCCTGCAGCAGTAACGGACTAAACCAATCGCATCAAGAGCATCTCTGCATATTCCAAAACATAAATCAAGTTGCAACTCATCAAACTTAATTTGAGAACACAAATTAATGTAGCTTCAACGCCTAAAACAAAAAGGGTTCAAGATTCAAGATGATCAAATTGCAACTCAAAATTTGAGAAACAAACTGAGTAATTCAATCAATCATGTAGCTTAACTTCTAATACGAAAGGAGCTAAAGATTACACTAGAGATGAAAAAAAGAGAATAAAAAAATCTCAGTGACCTGCGTTTATGCTTTTAGTAAAAAGAGCTAACATCTATGAACATGAAGATGATCAAATCGCAACTTAAAAAACCACAGATTTGAGAAACATATGGTGCACCATATCAATCATGTACCTTAGAAAAAAATCAAGTTGCAACTCATCAAATCTAATTTGAGAACACAAATCAATCTAGCCTCAACGCCTAAAACAAAATGGGTTCAAGATTCAAGATGATCAAACTGCAACTCAAACGCACCGAATCAATCATGTCCCTTAAAGTCTAAAAAAAAGGTCACAAGAGGATAAAAGAAAATGTCAATGACCTACCTTCATGCTTAAAGTAACAGAGCTATTATGAACTTCATAATAGAAAAACCAAGATGATCATACAAGAAACTACGCAATTTCTTCCACAATGCAAGGACATAAACAAAACCATAAAACCATCAAAATTCATCATCATAATCCCTCTCTACTGTGTTTATCCTCTTTACAACACTAAACGTCATCAAACATTCAGACTCTGGGCTTATTACTCCCATGTTCAACCAAATAACTCTCTTTCCAGTTTTCACAAATAGTATCATTGGCTTAAGAGACATCAAAATCCGCTTACCCTTCGGTGTAATCAGCCTGGAGAAGATCAAGGTATGTGTCCCATTTGTTCCCAATCACCTAAGAATCACATTTAAAGGTTCGTAAATCTCCAAACTTTATTTCAAAATTTAAAGCAAAATTTCTAAAAAGATATAAATAGAGAAAAGTGTCTGATATTTAGCACAAAAACCCTTGTTCTTTCTCAAAATCTAGAGTGATTTAAAGGCCTAATAAGAAGAAGAAGTAAACCCTAGAGATTTTTTGAATCTTCCTTGATTCGGAAAACAGAGACGCATAAAATAGAAAAAGGAGAAACCTTTCCACACGTAAAGCAACGAACAGGAATGATCATCGTGCACGAATTTGGTATTTCAGACTTTGTCCAAAATTTAGGGTTTTTCTCTCTCGCGCTTCGTTTACGACTCAGAGCTTCAAAGCAAGTGAGTTTCCCGTCTATGGCTTTATATCTGTATATACTACTTACCCTTTTGTCTTTTGGTTAAAACGATACCGTATTTGTGAAATCTGATAAATTAAGGAAAAGAAAAAAAAGAGATCTATCATTTAATTCTTCCAAATAATAATAAACCAAATGTAGAGAGAAAAAGTTGTCTTCTTCAATCTTGGGGCTGAGTGATCTGCTCGATTATTTTTTCCAAGCGTCGATCTTTAAGTTTTTTCCGGGAAAATCAAAGTCGGAGGAGGAAAGGAGGTATTAAACCGGAGATGTTGGAGAAGATCGGTTTACCGGCGAAACCTTCTCTGAGGGGAAATAGTTGGGTCGTAGATGCTTCTCATTGTCAAGGATGTTCTTCTCAGTTTACTTTCATCAATCGCAAGGTCTTTCTCTCTTACTCGATCAATTTGTTTTGCTACAAAAGTTTTTCTCTTTCTTAGTTTCCCGGTCGATTGTATTGACCGACTCTTTCTGGATCTAATTGATAGATTCCATAGAGAGAGAGAGAGAGAGTGTGTGTGTGTGTGTTGTTTTTTGAGTAATTGATCAACATCTTACACAGAAGAAAGCATAGATTTTGTAAAAATGGTTGTTTTTTTGTTGTTGTGTATTACCAGACCTGTGACTTGTTGGATTAGTCTATGTCTTGAGCTATTCTATGAGTTGAGGTTATGTATTTTTTGGTTCCAGCATCATTGCCGGAGATGTGGAGGATTGTTCTGCGGTAGCTGCACACAGCAAAGAATGTCCCTACGTGGACAAGGTGACTCACCTGTGCGTATTTGTGATCCATGTAAGAAACTCGAAGAAGCTGCGCGGTTTGAGCTGCGTCACGGTCACAAAACTAGAGCTGCAAAAGGTAAAAATCATGCAAAACTTGCGTTACATTGGTTTTGGTTTAAATTGGTTTGCATTTTCTTGCTTGATGTATCAAGTTTTGGTTTTTAATAGTTTTTTTGTGATTTTATCAGCAGGTAGCTCTAAAAAGACCGTAAAAAATGAGGATGATGTTCTTAGTGAGATCCTTGGCTCTGATGTTGATGTGTCTTCTTCATCGGAATCAGTGTCTAGTACAGACAGGATTACCTCTAAAGAAATGGGAAGCAGCAGTGGTAACAAAGAGATGGAGTTGGATGCTGTGTCAGCTAGTCCTGAAGAATTGCGTAAACAAGCAGTGGAAGAGAAGAATAAGTACAGAGTTCTTAAAGGAGAAGGGAAATCTGATGAAGCCCTAAAAGCCTTTAAGAGAGGGAAGGAGCTTGAGAGACAGGCCGAAGCACTAGAGTTATCGTTAAGAAAGAACCGTAAAAGGGTACTCTCCATGCGAAATGGTGCTGAGACGCAGAACAAGGCTGCTACGAAAGAATCTAGCAAAGCACAAAAGCCTCCACGTCAAAGGGGTAAAGGAAACGATGATTTGGCAGCTGAGCTGAGGGATCTCGGGTGGTCTGACGATGAAGAGATAAAACCAGCAACTGTTAGTTTAGAAGGCGAGTTTTCGTCTCTTCTCCGTGAAATTCCCGTGAGGACTAACCCACAGAAGAGTGTTGGAATTAACAAGAGTCAGGTTATTGCCCTTAAGAGAAAAGCCCTTGCGCTGAAACGTGAAGGGAAACTTGCAGAAGCTAAAGAGGAACTCAAAAAGGCTAAAGTTTTGGAAAGGGAGATTGAAGAGCAGGAGCTATTGGGTGGAGCTGATGAATCAGATGATGAGCTATCTGCGCTTATTAACAGTATGGATGATGACAAAGAAGATGATCTATTAGCTCAATATGAGGGGAGCCATGATTTTGACCTTGGTAACCTTGTGGGAACTGTGGATGATATTGGAGTTCATGGTGAATATGATGTCACAGATGAAGATATGGAGGACCCAGCAATTGCTGCTGCGTTGAAATCTTTGGGCTGGACCGAGGATCCTGGACACCGTGAGAATGTTCACCCTCAGTCTTCTCCTAATAGCAGAGAAGAACGTTTAGCTGAAATTCAGACGTTGAAAAGAGAAGCTCTTACTCTAAAACGAGCTGGAAATGCTGCAGAAGCCATGGCTACACTGAAGAAAGCAAAATTACTTGAGAGGGAACTAGAAGAAACGTCCTCACAAACTGTTGATACCACCAGGGTAGAGATAGGCACGAGCCTGAAACATCCTCCCAGAAGCAGGCTAGCGATTCAAAGAGAACTTCTTGCAGTGAAAAAGAAAGCGCTTACTTTAAAAAGGGAAGGAAAGTTTAACGAAGCAGAAGAAGAATTGAAGAAAGGAGCGGCTCTCCAAGATCAGCTTGAAGAGCTGGACAATTCCTCAAAGTTAGCTGCAGCAGGAAAGGCTATTCGTGAAAAAAGAGATCTTGGAAATGATCTGCCTGATATATCTACAAATACTCTGGATGATGATGGAGAGGTAGATGTAAAAGATGAGGAGTTAAATGATCCGAATTACCTCTCGATGCTAAAGAGCTTAGGCTGGAATGATGAAGATAATAATCCTCCAGGTTCTTCACCAGCAAAACCTGACCCAGTTAGTTCGAAACCAGGGAAAAAAACAGAAACTCAAGATGCATATGAAATCCATGGCACAAAACCAAGAAGAAGTAAAGCTGAAATACAACGAGAACTCTTAGGGCTGAAAAGAAAGGCTCTAACTCTGAGACGACAGGGTAATGTTGATGAAGCAGAGGAAGTTCAAAACCAGACAAAAATATTGGAAGCCCAGATGATGGAGATTGATTCAGGCAAGAATGTTTATGCTGACGGTGATCAGCTGAAGAAAACATCCACTGGTAATGGGATCAATGTAGCAGATGATAGCGTTACGGAAAATGATATGAAGGACCCAGCATTATTGTCGACTCTTAAGAATTTGGGATGGGAGGAAGAAGAAACCAAGAAAGAAGAAGCTGCCCTTAGCTCTAAGCAGTCTCTCGGTCCACGAACAGCAGCCAAAACGAAGGGACAAATCCAAAGAGAACTTCTTGACTTGAAAAGGAAAGCACTTGCCTTCAAGCGTCAAGGGAAAACTGGAGAGGCTGATGAGTTATACAGTAAGGCCAAAGTTTTGGAAGCACAACTAGCAGATTTAGAAACCCCCAAGGATGAGCCTATGAGTGAAGCTTTTATCGGTGAGCCGTTGAACATGAAAGGCTCAGCTTCGGCGATCGACCCTACAAACTACATGGACGTTGATTTGTTAGCACGATCTCAAATGGAGGACAAATCAGTCAAATCTGCTAGTGTTTCGCATGCTGCTCAAGATAGTTATGACTTGTTAGGAGACTTTATCTCCCCTGCTAAATCTGATTCCTTTAGCTCATATGGGATTAATGAACGTAGAGTTGTTTCTCAATCGGACCAACAGCAACCAAGTATGATGGATTTACTGACCGGTGAGCATTGTGAGAGGTCTCAAGTTTCGACAGAACAGGGAAAAGTTGAGACCAAGCCAGAGTTTGGTTTGGGAAACAGTCACTTCACTGAACAAACAGTAGCACGTAAAGAGCCAGAGCCGCTCACTAATTTTCAATCAGGATCTGTTCAAAATACATCTCCTCAGAGCACACTCAAACAAGAAATTCTAGCTCATAAGAGAAAGGCGGTTGCTTTAAAGAGAGAAGGAAGAATGAGTGAAGCCAAAGAGGCATTGCAACAAGCAAAATTGTTGGAGAGGAAACTACAAGAAGGAGAAAATCCATCTCCTGAAAAACTTGGACAAGATGACATAGTTTCTGCAACACATCCTCCTGCTCGAGAGAAAGAAAACAGTCCTTCAAGTTCAGCTCCAAAGCCAATGTCTAGTCGTGACCGTTTTAAGCTGCAGCAAGAATCGCTGAGCCACAAACGTCAAGCCATGAAGCTTCGGAGGGAAGGTAAAATGCAAGAAGCAGAAGCTGAGTTTGAGATTGCCAAAGCTCTTGAAGCTCAGTTAGAGGATTCAGCATCATCGAAATCAGAACCCGTGGACGATGTAGCAGTGGAAGATTTTCTCGATCCTCAACTTTTGTCTGCCCTCAAAGCTATCGGATTAGATAGTTCTGTGAATCCCTCGGCGAGTACAATGGACACAACGCAAGTTGCTGCAAAACCAGTGCGTGAAGCTGTGAAACCGAATCCAGCCAAGGAGAGTGATGATAAACAAGAGAGAAGTCAATTGGAGGAACGTATCAAAGCAGAGAAGGTGAAAGCTGTGACCTTGAAACGTTCAGGGAAACAAGCCGAGGCATTAGATGCTCTTCGACGGGCAAAACTCTATGAGAAGAAACTTAACGCTCTTACATTGAATTGATTCAGTTCTCCACTATAATTGGATATTTGTAACATAACCTCAATGTTGCTTAAGTGTTATCAGATTTGTAAACTGATACAGACTCAACAAAAGTTTTTGCAATAACCATATTTGTGTTGATGGAACTTCACAGACTACAAATTTAAAAGTTCAAAAGCTTCTCTTTTGCTTTCTCTAAACTTTGTCACGGTGAGTAATTGAAAGCTTCTAGAAAGGTTGAGTTCTTGTCTCATTAGATTAACAAGAAAGTTGAGTTCTTGTTATGGCTTGGATTCCCGGAAAGTAAGGGAGAATGAGAAACTAACAGATGGTTTTGACTTTTGAGAACCACAAAACTCATTAGTAGACGACGATAGGTTACTAAACCGTTTCCATTGGTTTCAACCTGACCATGATAAACCGGTACTGATCGCTACCTGATTTGCCGTTTTGCGGCTGAGATAACTAGTCAGCTGCTGACCCCAAACCTGTCAACGTACCAATAAAATTGAACCGGTCAATGTACAATAAAATTGAACCGGTTAATATACCAACCAAATAATATAAACCGGTCGTCCTCTGATTCATTTTGTGCTGCTCTAGAATTAGAAAGCTCACACATTTTAGTGGGGTTTTTAGTGTGAGCTACAGTAGAGATCGAAAAGGAAAAAAAAAAAAAAAAAGCAAAATCAGGCGAAACAAAAATGATGGCTAGGGTTTGGAGGTTGGGGTCTTCTTCTTCCTTTGCTGTTTCTGCTAGCGTTACGAGTATGAAGTTGATTCATCATCGCGCCGCCGAGAAAGGCACGGTTGCGCAGAATCTAGCTTCTTTGAAAGAAGCAATTTTGAAATTGGGAGGTGAGCCTCAGGATCATATCAAAGTCTTAGATGATGCGCTTGATTTTTTCGATGAAATGGTTCGATCTCTTCGCTCTTATTCAACAATTGATTTCAACAAGCTAATGGGTCTCATCCTGAGAGTGAATCGGCCCGATGTTGTGATTTCTCTCTATCAGAAGATGGAAATGCGTCGGATTCCATTTGATATGTACAGCTTCAATATTCTGATAAAATGTTTCTGCAGCTGCTCCAAGCTTTCCTTTGCTTTGTCTACATTTGGAAAGCTCACCAAACTTGGTTTCAAGCCTGATGTTGTTACGTTTAACACGCTGCTCCATGGGTTATGTCTTGAAGATAGGATTTCTGATGCCGTAGCGTTATTTGATCAAATGCTTGAAACGGATTTTTCACTCAATGTCATAGCTTTTACTACACTGATGAATGATCTTTGCCGCAATGGTCGAGTGTTCGAAGCAGTAGCTCTGGTTGATCGGATGGTAGAAAATGGTCATCAACCTGACGTTGTTACTTACGGAACAATTGTAAACGGAATGTGTAAGATGGGCGACTCTGTCTCGGCCTTGAATCTGCTTAGGAAGATGGAGAAAAACCACATCGAAGCTAATGTTGTTATCTATACTACCATCATTGATCGTCTTTGCAAAGATGGACATTATGTCGATGCTCAAAATCTATTGAGTGAAATGCACGAGAACAATATCTTCCCCGATGTTTTCACCTACAACTGTATGATAGATGCTTTTTGTAACAATGGTAGATGGAGTGATGCCGAGCGATTTCTGCGTGATATGATTAAAAGGAAAATCAGTCCTGATGTTGGGACTTTCAGTGCTTTGATCAATGCATTTTTCAAAGAAGGAAAGTTCACTGAGGCTGAAGAATTATTCAAGGAGATGCTTGCTAGGGGTATATTTCCCAATACGATCACATATACCTCAATGATCCATGGATTTTGCAAGCATGATCGTCTAGATGAGGCAAAAAAGATTTTTGATTTGATGGCTAGCAAGGGATGCTCTCCGAATATAGTCACTTTCAATACTCTCATTGACGGATGCTATAGGGCTAATAGGGTAGATGATGGGATTGAACTTTTCTACGAGATGCGTCAAAGAGGATTAGTAGCTGATACAGTTACTTACAACACTCTCATTCATGGGTTATGCCAAGTGGGCGACTTTAATTCCGCCGAAGACTTTTTCCACAGTATGCTTTCTCATGGTGTATGCCGTAATATCTTAACTTATAACATTTTGCTGGATGGTTTCTGCGATAATGGGAAACTGGAAAAGGCATTGGAAATGTTTGAGGGTATGCAGAAGAGTAATATTGAAGTTGATTCTGTTACTTATAATATCATCATCCATGGAATGTGCAAGGGTAGTAAGGTGGACGAGGCATGGGACTTATTTTGTAGTCTCCCCTAGTCCTGTAAATTGGGCTGTCCACAACCATGTGGTCTTTGTCCAGTTGGACCTTTTCTAATCTTGGACAAAAAATAACCAAGTCCAAAAAAGATCAAGTCCAAAAAAGATCAAGTCCAAAAAGAACCAAGCCCAACTGGACCATGTCCAATTGGACAAGACCATGGACAAAAAGAAATCTGATAATGAAATTCATAAGTAGAAGATTCAAAACTATATGAACGTTAATGTAAAGATGAATAATATGCATGATAATAAAAAGTAGAAAAAGAATCCAAAAGTAAAAAAAAAAACTCCTCTTTGTTCACTTAATACAAAGAATCCAAAAGTAAAAAAAAAACCTCCTCTTTGTTCACTTAACACAAAGAATCCAAAAGTAAAAAAAAAAAAACTCCTCTTTGTTCATTTAACACAAAGTAAAGATGAACGTTAATGTAAACTGAATTCACTTAACACAATCATAAACAAACTCCTCTTTGTTCTCCTCTTCTGCCTTGTTTCCTTAAGATTCTTCTTGCTCCTCTTCGACCTCCTCTTTGTTCTCCTCTTCTGTCTCATCCACTGAAAATATTTAAAACCATAACATGATGTAAGAGAAGAACTGTATTTGATATATCATCAAAAATCAGAATGATGAAGGAAGAAACTTACCTATTGGAAAGCCTTTTAACCAGTTTCTTGCACAAACCAAGGCTTGAACATTAGTTGGTAATAAAGAGCTTCTATACTTATTAAGTATTCTACTACCTATACTAAAAGAGGATTCTGAGGCAACTGTTGTTATTGGAATGCTCAAAACATCACACGCCATACAAGACAGCTCCTTAAAACGAGAAGAGTTGTCCCTCCAATATGTTAACACATTCATGTCTTTATGTGCAACCATATCCATAACGGGTTCATCCAAATACATATCAAGAGCAGACTTTCCACTACCACCAGCTTTTTGAGCAAAAAAAGCATAGAATCCCTGAGAATCAAACAAATTTGACACATTAGAAACATCATCAAAAACCATTGCTCAAACAGAGGTTTTTGAGACGCTTAAAAGGAACCTGATACAAACTGAGATTCACAAGAACAAAATTACCCAGATGGAAAAAGTTCCTCACAGCACCAAAACAGGAATTGAGAAATAAGAAAGAAAGGAGGAGCTTACAGGAAAACCTAGATGACACATCATAACCGGCAGAAACATAAGACTCATCATCAGAAGTCACTAGAAACATTCGACACATTAAAAACACAGCAGTTTCAGTAAGAAACTTACACTATAACCGGCAGGAATATCTTCTGGCAAAGTCTGTGAAGTGGCTGCAGCAACATTGTTTCTTTGGTTTTTTTGATAAGCTTTGAATAGCTTATACATCTTTGATCTTACATGTTGCAATCTGTTCTTACTGGTGATTGGATCCAAAGTAGTGTAACAGTATTCCAACACTGCAAATTTCATTCTTGGATCAAGAACTGCTGCAATTGCTAGTATGTCACTGTACTCTTCCCAATATTTGTCAAATTTCTCTTGCATAACTTCCACCATATCAGAAATAATCCCATCAGTAGACAGTTCATGAGCTCTCAACCAGTTTTCTATCTTCCAAACCTGTATAAAGTACAAATTTGCAGTCGGGTATGAAGAGCCGGAAATAAGCTTCGTCATTTCAGAAAATGGGTTCAAGAAGTCAGCTATCAGTTCTGCTCTGCTCCACTCTAAAGCACTTGGACAACTTGTATAACTTGGTTCTACATCAGAAAGGTTACCTAAAGCATCTTTGAACTTTAAAGCTCTAACTAGCATGAGATGTGTTGAGTTCCAGCGTGTAGCAACATCCAAAACAAGACTTTCTTTGCCTTGGATTCCAACCGTTTCCATGCAGTTCTGAAACATAATCTCTCTGCTTTCAGACCCTTTTATAAACTTCACACTCTCTCTAATCTTGTGCAGAGCTTCACCAATCACTGACAATCCAACTTGCACAATAAGATTTAGAATGTGTGCTGAACACCGGACATGGAAGAACTCTCCATTGCATACTAGATCTTTCTGAAGTTGCCTTTTCATAATGCTTTGCATAGAATCATTAGAAGAAGCATTATCTACAGTCAGACAGAAGACTTTCTTTTCTAAACCCCATTCTTTTAGCAATTCAATCAGTCTCATCGAAATAGCTATTTCTGTGTGTGGAGGAGGAAATGCAGAGAAAGAAAGAATCTTCGTCTTCAGTTTCCAGTCAGAATCAATGTAATGAACGGTTAAACAAAGATATCCTTCTATGGTAATGGCCCTCCAAAGGTCAGTTGTTAAAGACACCCTATTTTACTTTCCTAACGTCATGCACCTAACGTCATACTTTCCATCAGGTAGTTTACCACCTATTATGGTAAACTTTTTCCAGCACTTAGATACTCTACGACTAGACTTTCTTTTCTAAACCCCATTCTTTTAGCAATTCAATCAGTCTCATCGAAATAGCTATTTCTGTGTGTGGAGGAGGAAATGCAGAGAAAGAAAGAATCTTCGTCTTCAGTTTCCAGTCAGAATCAATGTAATGAACGGTTAAACAAAGATATCCTTCTATGGTAATGGCCCTCCAAAGGTCAGTTGTTAAAGACACCCTATTTTACTTTCCTAACGTCATGCACCTAACGTCATACTTTCCATCAGGTAGTTTACCACCTATTATGGTAAACTTTTTCCAGCACTTAGATACTCTACGACTAGAATGAGCTCTGGTTTTTCGTGTACCTTCATTTTTCTCTAAATTTTCTGGAGGTTCGGTATCTTCATCCACCACTTGATGATCCATTTCAGTATCCATGAAACAACTGTCTTCATCATTCAATCTTATAGCTTCCATTCTGTTGAAACAACAAAACAAGAAGAAGATAGATTTGTAAGAACCCATATAAGCAACAAGAACATACCACAGTTTAGTACAGAAAAAAAATCAACAAAAGTAGACACAAAACTCAATCCAGTGTTAGAGCAATGCATTAACAAACGGGCTCTAGCTTAGACATTGTCAGAACAAAGCTTTTTCAGTATGAAATGAAAATTCACAAAAGCTTTTCTTCTACAACTATGGAAGAACGCAATCAGATGATGAGCAATAATGTGAAACAATTCATGTTGCAATCAGCCAAAATGATTCATGTTGCATACCAAAAACAATAATATGAAACAATTCTATGAATCAAATCACCAGTCATTTCCAAGCAGATAAGCATTTCTAATCTAATCTAACGAATTCATCCAAATTGACCAAAGAGGAAGCATCGCCACAAGAGAAACTAAAACAAATTGATCTGTTCTGACATTAACAGATCCATTCGTAAAACAACACTTTCAAGCTGAAACAAGACATTGAGAAATCATTTGAACAAAAGCCCAGAAGAAGGAAAGATGGAAAAGGGAACAAAAACAGAAACTTTACCTGATAACCTGATTCTCGCCGCAGAGAGAGAGGTGAAGGAGAGATCGACGAAATCGAAAAAACTCACAACAAAAAACTTGCTAAACCCCAGGTCGACGAAATCGAAGAAATCGGTGAAGGAGTGATCGACGAAATCGAAGAAATCAAAGGTATCGAAGAAAAAAAAAACTTGGGCGTGACCAAACTGACCGCGGCTCTAACTCGATTTGGACCGCGGTTTCGTCGAGCGTAGGCCCAAGAGGACCATATCTGTGTTGGGCCTTTGTTTAGTCCGACCATAAAGCTATGAATTGGGCCACGCCCATGGTCAGCCCGACCAATTTACAGCTCTAGTCTCCCCCTCGATGGTGTGGAGCCTGATGTTCAAACTTACAGTATAATGATACATGGATTTTGGGGAAAAAGTGCAATTTCTGAAGCAAATGCGCTGTTCAAGAAAATGAAGGACAATGGATATGTACCAAATGGCTGTACATACAATACACTAATCAGAGGACATCTGGGAGCTAGCGAAGTTGAGGCATCAGCTGAACTTATCAAGGAAATGCGAAGCAAGATGCATTCACCAAGAAAATGGTAGATGATATGATATCTGATGGTGGATTCGACAAGAGCATTGTGGAAATGCTTTTTTAGTGATTGGTGTGCTGTTTCTTGTGTCAAGAAATCTGTCTTAATCTCGTTCCTTCTATGGTATGTCCTACTCAATTGTGTCTCTTTAATTGTGTTCTTTTAGGATGTTTCGATGCTATATGTGACATGAAATAGAATTCTGCAGAGGTTTCAGCTTCTTGGAATTTGCAAGAAGTTTCTCGAAGAACGAAAGGCGAGAGTGTCTGTTAGTAGATTGCTTTTGTTTTGTTCTCTCTTTAGATTACAAGATGGCTTGGGAATTTATTCGTAATCTCAAAACTGAATCATTATCATATCTTTGTTTCGAATAGCTTGGGTATTTGTATTCAGAGTTCTGAGGGTTAACTTATGAAAATGGAATCATTTTGTCTAGCAGTGGAGTAGACGTTGTTAATTATGAAAATGTAACAGAGCAAAACATAGTGGCTGTATTCTCAGTCAAGCCAAGGAGTGTGATGATAATTAAGGGAGAAGTGGAGGCATTAGATGCTCTTCGACGAGCAAAACTCTATGAAAAGAAACTAAACGCTCTTGCATCGAATTGATTCAATTCTCCACTTAATTTGGATATATTGCTTAAGTATAATCAGATTTGTAAACTGATCACGCTCAAAAAGTTTTTGCAATAACCAATATTTTTTTGATGGAACTTCACAGAATTGAAGACTCATATACATTTGGAACTTGACAAGCTTCTCTTTTGCATGTTTCCTTCCCGTAAGTAGCCATCAATAAATCATGTGTCATCATCAACCATCTCTAGAAAGCTTGGTCACTGTGCTTTTTGTCTAGTTGATTTGAGCATTATTTCAATTATTGAAATAAATTGCAATATCCATTAAGTTGTATTTTGGTCAAAATTGCAAAACATAATTTTCGAATTCGATTAAACTAATTCCACTTGTTAAAGTTTTATTTATCCTGCTCTAATTTTTTTTTGTATTAGATAACTTATTGGTGTTATTTTTTTTTCAAGTAAATAATACTACATTTGATTTGATTTATCTTCGACGCCTATATTTATTTTTTACCACTACAACACATCCTTCGATTTCCGTACACCGGCCATAAGTGTAATGATATTTTCTACAATAGTTAACACAACCAAAGAGAAAATCTTCTTGACACGGACTAAATCCTCCGAAGCAATGCTCGTCTCCTAATCCATAAGCTGTTTATTAATTTTCGCAAAAAAAAAATAAACCTGTTTATTAATAAAGAAATCATTAATCCAATATATTCATGCAAATGACAAAAGCAATTCCATAACTAAAAAGTTGAGGTATAAGACAAAATTAGCACCTGGAGGAGTATCAGTAGTAGGTGCCATTTGACAGTAACCAGAAGATAAAATGACCAATACAGTGAAAACAAATGTGATTAAAAAATCTATTGAGTTTGTTATGATATTCTTTTTAAAAAAAAAAATCTTTTGAGTTTTCTTTAGTTAGACTGATTATATATATACTATTACAAATATATTTTTTCTAGTCAACGATAAAGAAAGAAAATAATCTTTCCATTTATTTTCTTATAAATTTGTAGTAAAAAGAAAACTGCTAGTCTTACTTTCTTGTTTTATGTCGACAACAGCTAATCTTGCTTAAAATGTATTAGAAAATTTAAATTTTCTTTTAAATAATAAACATTTTTATATTATTTAAAATTTAAATTTAATATTTCTTTTAAATTTAACTTTAAATTTCTTTTAGATAATAAACATTTTTATATTTATATTATAAATTTAAAAGAAAAATTAAAAGAATATAAATATCACCACTCATTAATATATGTAGACTTGACTAACTTACTTCTTGTTTAACTGAGATAACTTATTGAAATCCTTAAAATCCCAGACGGCTCATCTTCTCGTAGCCCAACTTCTCTGTGCTCCATCGAGTGTTATTGTGCTCAGTTGAATTTCATCATGCTCTGTTGTACTTTGTCCAGACTTGCTGTGTTCTGCTGATATTCGCCAAATGATGCAAGTTGATGCTAGCAGACCATACGACAGAAGGTTCCAACCTACTGGAATGATCCACATCGCAGTTTGCTCATAGCATCACTTGCTTAAAAGTATACCTGATACAGAGACAGAGAAGAATGTGATTGATCTCATTTTAAAGAAGTTTGAATATATAGACTAAAGTCCTTACAGTCACTAGTACTATAGTAGCGAGTTTTTTTTACCTCAAAACTAATCCAACCAAAAAGAGAGGAGAACATAAATACTAAATGCGTTGGTCTAGTTCCCGTAAAGCATAAGCTTAGCCATGTTCCTCCTAATCTGCAGTTAACATTAGACAGATGAATAGCTAAAAAGAAAAACAGAATGTAAGAAGAATAATCAATACATAGACCTAGAAGCTTCACTTGTACAAGTATATATATATATATATATATATATATATATATATATATTACCTGAAGTTTTCCAAGGGTTCGTGCCAATGATGAGAAAATCCATAAAATAAAGCAAGCATTCAGTAACGCCACAGGAATCATCCAAAAGAAGATTTCTTTCCCAGGAAAGTCGTTGATGTTTCCCTGATGCTCAAACAACTCAAGAAGCACTGTGGTCACAAAGTAAACGACTCCAAGAGGAATTTTTCTCGTGGTTATGCCACCAAAGGTACTCATATATAGACACAACCAAAAGAAGAAGCCTGATGATAAAACCAATAAATAATATAAGAGAAATTTTCTGTGTTATTCAGCATATATATAAAGCACTTACAATCTACTTTTCTAAAGCTAGTGATAAACACAGTTTAATCTCATAGATTATGATTAAATTTCAAGTAGAAATATTCATTTCAAGATTTACACCATGAAGAATCGTTGATCATGGACGATTGTGGTTTTTATTTCAAGTTGTCAAGACAATATTCATTTCAAGTTTTACACCATTCTCATAAAAAGCTTATCTCATAGATCATGATTTCAGAAATTTTTCTACTAAAGTTAATTAAAAAAAAAATGAAACAAAAATAAGCAAAATATAATCAAAATATAAGCATAATGTATGCATAATATAAGACAAAATATAAGCAAAACATAATCAAATTGGTTTATATTTTGGTAAACACTAGTGAGTATTTATGATTATCATTTTTCTGTGTAATGGAATGATCAAACCAAATTATTGCGAGTATTAGATTTCTTATGGGTCGATGAAATTTCAATTTCAATATTCCTCTGCAAAAACCAAAGACTTAAAGTTATAACATAAAATCAGTTAGGTTCGTCAACAGAAAGATTACAACATATAAGAAGACATATAAGAAGACAATGACATACAACAAAACCAAATTAATACTCTTAATCGAACAAACACTAATGAGTTGCCTTTAGGAAATTCACGTGAAAGTTGCATTTAGTTTTAAATAGGTTGTTAATCTTTTTTGTGTTTAATTAAGTTTATGTTATAGGATTTAGTTTCCAAAACCCATATAAACCTAGTATCACACCATTTCAAAAGAATCTGTCTTTTTGTTGTAGGGATATTTACTCGGATTGAATGTCCAGAAGGTCAAGAATATACTAATTTCAAACCAAGATGATCCATTCGAGAGCTTAGAGATGATTGATGCCATCATGCCATTCAACATCTAGGAATCAATCTCCATTTCCAACACGAGATCGATCAGATCTTTCACATGACTTACAAAGAATGCACATAAATCAATGATTTGAATACTATGGACGAGATCTCCATGAGGTCGCGCATTGCTTTCGATTGCAGAGGCCAGAAGGTCACTATAACCAAGAAAGTACGTGATATAGCATGTAAATATATCTATATCATTTACTTACTACATTGCTCTTAGGATATATATGCGTATTAACGGTTATAATTATTATAAAACATTTTGGTATTTTCAGAAACATTTTAGAAAAGAAGAGTGGAATCAAAATGATGTGAAGGGTCATATAATTGTGTGAAGCTTTTGAGTTCAGTGTAGAAGGTGAAGAAATACTCGATAGTGTGAGGTTACTCGTCTTAATGAACTTTGCTCTGGTCGAGAAAGTCATCAAAAGCGAGTGATAATGAGTTCTTTGAGGCAACCTTGCCACAAAACCTTATGAAGATTAAAGTCCAAGAGGACCATAAATTATAAGCATGATCAAATCGCGGTTCAAGAAGATAATAAGTGGTTACAAACTCTATTACGAGTGGCTGAGGTCGATTGCATTATATTAAAGTCATTACTATAGGAAGAAATATCTCAAATAATCAAGTAAAGTCAAGAATGATACACCCTAAAGTCGATATATAAGTGAATTCGATAGAAGGCTTTTTATAGGTTTTTGATTTCACAGAGATGACATTTCGATGTCTATGGGGAGCTAGAAGAACTAATTATCTTCACGAAGTTGCTGAGAGGTACATATAAACTAGTCTAATATATCTTATGTTGATTCACATTCTTTGTCTTCTAATATGTAAAAGATAACGAAAACTTGTTAAGAAATGGGTCATGAGGGCTTTGAGACGCTACCGAGATACATGAAGGTTTGCTTTGAAGGTTTGCTTTGAAGCTTGAGATATCACATGGTTGGAACCCAACAGACTCTTCAAAAATCAGTGATTATCACTCAAAATAAAGTCATGTTTATAGATCTCTTTAATCATATTGATCAATTGATTCAAAGCATATGAACATTACAATTTCTTAATTTCTGATTCCTCAAATGTAGAGACAGAGACAAAAGTAGAGACAGAGACAAAAGTAGAAACAGAGAGAGTTCTTAACTTCTGATTCCTCAAATGCCAACTAGCGTGGCTGACGGGTAAAGTGTGAGGTCTTTTTGATTTGTAAAATGGCTGTTACCATTTTTGTCAATTTGGCTCCGTGGTACGCTAAGAATTTCTAATCGTTAAATACCCGATTTTTCCGACGTAATTTAGAAGACTTATCAAGAGTCGAGACTAATGACTAATTGAGCCTTCTAGTTATTGTTATTCCTGGAACATATTCAGACTTTTCAAAGTATTACGATATCCAAATCCAAACGGGTATTATTGATTTTAAAATTTATAAGGCCCATTAACAAGCCCAACTGGAGTTGATCAACCTGGAAAGCGTCTTCCTTAAGGCCACCGACCACATATTATCTTCCATCTTCAATACTCTGGATATGTGGTCGGTGGCCTTAAGGAAGACGCTTTCCAAATATTCCTCTGATTACAGTGCCATCCAATTCTGGGTGGCATATCATGAAATAGAGATAGTAAACCCCAGTCTTCTTAATAACCATAATTTAATCTCATATATCATAATTAATTTGCAAGTTATCAAGACAATATTCATTTTACAATATGGAGCATCATTGTTTTTGGGCGATTGCGGTTTTTATTTCAAGTTATCAAGATAATATTCATCTCAAGTTTTACATAATTCTCATAAAAAGCTTAATCTCTTAGATCATGATTTCAGAAATTTTTTCTACCAAAGTTAATTGGACAAACATGAAACAAAAATAAGCAAAATATAATCAAAATATAGGCATAATGTAAGCATAATATAAGAATAAATATAAGCAAAACGTAACAAACTATCAACTTTCACAAGTTTTTACCAAAATATATCGATATTTTATTGGTTTCCAGATAAAAGAGCAAAAACCAAGAAGGTTATTCATCAGTTATTGCCTCTTCATTATTGGCACTCTTCTCATAAATGTAAGTTAAGATTTCTCTTAATCAGTACGATCTTTCCTACGATCTCTCCTAATGTTAACTTCTCAGAATACCTGAAAAGCATCTTCCTTAAGGCCACCGGCCATATAGTAACTTCCATCGGCCTCATCCCAGTGGAGTTGAAAGTAGCATATTCAAAGTACTGAAGAGCCATTTCACACATGCCAAGAGCAATAACCAAAGTGATATGACAGTGCAGCTGACTAATACTTGTGTTCCTCCCAAACCGCAGAAACCAGATAAGGCCGAGTAAGAGATAATCCAACGACATGAAGCCAAAGAAGTTTCTTAGAGGAGCCACTTTTCCTGGTAAAAAACCGTAAGGGTTCTTCCAAACTGTTCTTCTTCTGATTACAGTGCCATCCAATTCCAGGTCGCATATCATGAAATAGAGATAGTAAACCTAGTCTTCTTAATAACCACAGTTTAATCTCATAGATCACATTAAATTGCAAGTTATCAAGACAATATTCATTTTACACCATGGAGAATCGTTGTTCTTGGGCGATTGCGGTTTTTATTTCAAGTTATCAAGATAATATTCATCTCAAGTTTTACATCATTCTCATAAAAAGCTTAATCTCATAGATCATGATTTCAAAAAAAAATTCTACCAAAGTTAATTGGACAAACATGAAAAAAAAGCAAAATATAATAAAAATATAGGCATAATGTAAGCATAATATAAGAATAAATATAAGCAAAACGTAACAATAATTTCAACTTCAATATTCTTTTGCTACATATTGCTCAGATATTATCACGATGCTAGGTACACCTTCGCAGTGGCCTTCTTTTCCATCGGAGCTAGAAGATTTTAGAGCTCTTAGACAATCTTTTGTTTCTTTTAGGATTAGTTTAATCTCTCGTAGAGATAATGTCTCGTAGAGGATTTCGTTGCTCCCATGTAAGTCTGTTGGCTCCGGCCTAGCTCTAGAGGAAAACCCCTTTCGATTGGTAATTTAATTAAGTGTGTTTTTTATGTAAAAAAAAAAACCGACTACTTTAAATCGGACAGACACTACTGATCAGGAAATTCACGTGAAAATATATTTGGTTTTTAATAAGTTGTTAATTTTTTTTTTTGGTTTTATTAAGTTTATGTTATAGGATTAATTTTCCAAAATCCATATAAACCATAACATTTCAAAAGAATGTGTCTTTTTGTTGTAGGGATGTTTACTCGGACTGAATATCCAGAAGGTCAAGAATATACTAATTCCAAACCAAGATGATCCATTTGAGAGCTTAGAGATGATTGATAACCAAGATGATCCATTCGAGAGCTTAGAGATGAGACATCAATCTCCATTTTCAACACGAGATCAATCAGATCTTTCACATGGCTTACAAAGAATGCACATAAATCAATGAATTGAATACTATGGACGAGATCTCCATGAGGTCGTGCATTGCTTTCGATTGCTGAGGCAAGAAGGTTACAATAACCAAGAAAGTACGTGATATAGCATGTAAATATATCAATATATACTTACTACATTGCCGTATGATACATGCGTATTTACGGTAATGATCACTATAATTTATAAAACATTTTGGTATGTTCTGAAACATCTTAGAAAAGAAGAGTGGAATCAAAGACGGCCTACAAAATGATGGGAAGGGTCATATAATCGTATGAAGCTTTTGAGCTCGGTGTAGAAGGTGAAGAAATACTCGATAGTGTGAGAGAATTCACATTTACTTGTCTTAATGAACTTTGCTCGGGTTGAGAAAGGCATCAAAAGCGAGTTTATAATGAGTTCTTTGAGGCATACTTGCCACAAAACCTTAGGAAGATTAAAGTCCAAGAGGTCCATAAATTATAAGTATGCATGATCAAATCACGGGTCAAGAAGATAATAAGTGGTTACAAACTCTATTACTAGTGGCTGAGGTCGATTGCATTATCTTAAAGTCACTACTATAGGAAGAAATATCTCAAATAATCAAGTAAAGTCAAGAATGATACACCCTAAAGTCGATATATAAGTGAATTCGGTAGAAGACTTTTTATAGGTTTTTGATTTCTCAGCGATGACATTTCGATGTCTATGGGGAGCTAGAAGAACTAATTATCTTCACGAAGTTGTTGAGAAGTACATATAAACTAGTCTAATATATCTTATGTTGATTCACATTCTGTGTCTTTTAAATATGTCAAAGATAACGAAAACTTGTTGAGAAATAGATCATGAGGGGCTTTGAGACGCTACCGAGATATATGAAGGTTTGCTTTGAAGCTTTAGATATCACATGGTTGGAACCTAACACACTTCGAAGTGATTAACACTCAAAATAAAGTCATGTTTTAGACCTCTTTAATCATATTGATCAATTGGTTCAAACCATATGAACATTACAATTCTCAGTGGGCAAGTTTGTGTAAAACATTATTGGTAAAAGCAAAATGGTTAAATTCTTGGTGAGTATATATGTTCATTTAGTGATACTCCATGACTACTTCTTGTTGGCTGAAGAACTAAAAATAAAAAAAATAAACTCGAACTAATTGAGAATCACCTTAGGACTGTATAATCTGCAGCTACATTGCAAGAACAGTTAATATTACAAGAACTTTTGATCTGAGTAAACAAGTCCTAAAGGGTCAGAAAACAACTTACTCAGGTAGAAAGGTTATAAGATTTACATCAAGTTTACAAACCGGGATGTACGACTTACACTAAAAACTCTTTAATGTAAACTATATAATGCTTGTGACAAGGAGTTCACTCACGTTTGTCCTCTTCAACCTCGTCTGCAAGCCCATATAAAAGATCATTCCTTTCAACATCTCCTGTACTCTTAATTCCGGTACCCGTCAATGAGACACCTTCCTCTTCGAACTCGTCCCCTGTTTCCGCTAAGTATGAGTACCTGCAAGGTTTAAAGCAATTAGAGTTAAGCTGAGTGCAAAATAGATAATCTCTCGGTGAACACCATATTAGAGTCTTGAATCTTGCCATAAAAGAATTGAGTAAACGTCAATGGAAAGTTGTTTAACCTTGTTGGGTTATTGGATGGAGCCCAAAGGATGCATATGACTGCTAACAGACCAAAAGAGAGTAAATTCCAAAAAGCTGGAATGATCCACGCCATTCTCCAGAGTTCGATTAGAGGGTCAGTTCCGTTGAAGTATAGCTGATACAGAGACAGAGAGGAATGTGATTTCAGTTACACTCCTTTGACTTGAAGTTTCAAGTAACATACGAGTCAGCCACTAGAGTAGTGAGTTGTGTTACCTCAAAACCAATCCAAGCAATAGAGAGCAGCACAGAGATAGCGAGTGTGTTAGTGAAGTTCCTATACAGCTCAAGCTTAGCCATGTTTCTCTTAATCTGCAGTGAACATTAGACAGATAAGCAGCTAAGAAAAAATTTAGAAGAACTGTATCTTCGTAGATGGCTTAAGTAGCTACTGATTGGAATCTAAATAAGATAACATGGTTATGATCCTTGAACGCATGTGGTATATATACTTCCTTCATATATCATAATTTGACAGAGAATATTTGGCTATGTATCTACTATTGCTATACAAAGAAATCAATTCAATATAAGTGTTGTATCTTACCTGAAGTTTCTCAAGAGTTCTCGCCAATGATGAGAAAATCCACAGGATAAAGCATGCATCCAGTAATGCCACGGGTATCACCAAAAATATCACTGTTTTTCCAGAAAAGTCATTGATGTTCCCCAATTGCTCAACCAACTCAAGAGCCTCTGTTGCAACAAAATATATGACTCCAAGAAGAAGTACCCTCGAGGTTATGCCACCAAGTGTAGGCTTTACGACCCCATAACCCATAGAAACAACCAGAAGAAGAAGCCTGGAAAGCGTTTTTTTTATGGAAGCAAAAGTCACTGCCCACAGAGTAACAACCATTGGTCTCATACCAGTCGAGTCGAAATTAGCATACTCAAAGTATCGAACAGCCATTTCACACATGCCAAGAGCAATAACCAAAGTGATATGATAGTGCAGCTGAATTATATCCTTCCAAAACTGAACAAACCGCACAAACCAAACTAGGCCAAGCAGAAGATAAGCTAACGACATGAATCCAAAAAACTTCATCAAAGGAGCAACCTTTCCTGGTAAATAACCATCAGGGTTCTTCCAAACTGTTCTTCCTCTGATTCTAGTGCCATCCAATTCCGGGTCACAAATCATGAAATAAAGATAGTACATTCCAGTCTTATTTATAACCACTGTTTCAGGGGACATATTAACTTCTGTCTTGTTCCCTTTAAAGTAAGTCTTGATCTGTCTTGGCCACTCACTAGAATCTCTGTTGATGATAACCTCCCCAAGGCTGCAAGATCCAGTATCAGCAAGCTCTGGTGTGCAACAAATTGCTTCGGATTTGAGAAAAGATCCCCCAATTCTATCACGGTCTTTCACTTCAAGTAAGATTGCTTCCACTAGCCCTGCAGTTGATTGCATTGCATTCTGTTTACTAGCAGATTCCACTGTCCTCACAAAGGTCACATCATCAAACCTATAAGTAACAAAGATATTGGCTAAACAACATTAGCTATAAAGGTATTGCAATGGGAGAGCTTTCTACTTGCTTAAAAGTCTGATCTCAGCTACATTGAGAACAAAGAGTAATCAAACTTATAATTATTAAGCATAAGGCTTCAAAGTAATGTTCCTTAGTTAAACTATTCCAGACCCACATCAAGGTGTATATTAAAGCTGATTTGAGGAGGAAGAATCTGACCTTATAAAGGACTTTCCTTTAAGAGGTTTATCAGAAGAAGTGTTTACATCCTGAAACTTGGAAGCGTAGAGACCTTCGCTACCTCCATGGAAGAACCGAGCATTGGCGCGTGCGGTGAAGCCTTCGTTCTTGTACTCGTGAATCGATGCATCGGAAGCGCCGATCAAGCTTCCGACAAGTAAAATCACAATCGCCCACAACCCTAACAGACGATTTCCCATTGGAAACAGAGCTTAATTGTTTGTCTCTTGAGTTGAATATCGCGAAGCTGGAGCTAGAAGACGCTGATCGAAGATTTTCGATCGAACCAAACGAGAGAGAGAGACGATTACTCAAAGTCTCAAACGGTGCACAGATCAAATACTCCTTTTTTTTAATTGGCTCAACCAAAAAAAAAAGTTTACTGAAATTACATGTCTACGGTAAGAAAGAAAAAAAAAACACTATATAATTAAATTTAAGTTGGTTAATTTAATCATATAATAAATTTGGCTAAATAAGCTTAAGATATAACTTATAAGCATGGTGGGAATGCATAGTCTTAGATTTATATCTGTTTGGAAGAAGATTAAGTGTATAAGAGTTAGATTTTCATGTTGTTTAATATATTTGTATTAATCGTTTTAGTGTGTTTATGTTTATTTTATTCGGACGATAGTTTCTCATTTTTCGGATTTTTGGCTCTAGGATGTATCTATTATTATTTGCTGGCTTTTGATTCCAGTCGTCAGATAGTTCTTTTCTCTGTATTATTTTCGTTGAATTAATAAATATTAATCAATGTTAAAAAAAAAGCTTCAATATTAGCCTAAGCATGTATATACAAATTATTCTCTATGCTTATTATACTATCCACAACGCGGTATGGACGGAATTCATCTGTGGGGTCTAAAACTATTATTTTGATTTGTTTTAATTGTTTAAACCCAAAAACTTGCTGATACCGTCTCATTGGGATGAGCCTGACGAGCCTGTATCGTCGAGGTTCAACGGCTTATGTGGCAAACAGTGATTGGGTGTAGTTTGGAGAAATTTTTTTAGAGTCGGGGTCGAAGTTTTGGGGTTTATTTCGCATTCTATTTTTATCAAAAAAAAAAACTCTCAAGGCAATTTGCGATAATCGCGACTTCGACACAAATCTTCCCCTTCGATCGAATCGACGGTGAATCGTCGCTTCCCCTCCGGTGGATCAGTAAGGTACGTCGTCTGTTTCTTTTGAAGTATTTTAATTTCGTTTTATTCGAGAGTTTGAATCGATACTAGGGTTAACTAAATTGGGGGAAAATTAGGGTTCTGTGGGAACTTTTGTTTTGGGGCTTTTGGTGTTTAGTAAGATTTGTATGTGATTCATTGTTCTTATGGTTAATCGGTTCCGAATTTCGCCTATTTGGGTTTTTAAAACTGATGATAAAATTAGGGTTCTTGTTGATAAAATTATGTGATTGGATATTGCTTTGTACGTTTCATTGATTGTTTTGCTTAAGTAGTTAACCATCGAAATGCTTATGTTGTTGTTGCGAGGTTAGCAATGCCTATCAGCTGGAGCGAGCCCTCGTCGTCTGAGGACGAAGCTATCGAGAACATGGCTTGGGCATACGCCGATGGTAACTATGGTATTCCACAAAGATGTTTCTGTGGCTTAGCGGTGAAGCTTGAATCCGTGAGAGGTGGACCGAATTGTGGACGAAGGTTCTACCGTTGTCCTGAGTGGATAAACGAGGTCCGTTGAACACTTCTGTTTACTTGTTTTGTTGTATATTCATTCTTCATTTGTATCTGCTTTGGCTTAGTTCGGTTTACTTGTTTTGTTGTATAGGGTAGTTTTCAGCATATTTTCAAATGGTGGGATGAGGCTGTGGAAGAGCAATTCGAAATCTTGGGGCAAACGGTTGAACGGCTTAATGGAGAAGTAAAAGAGGAGGTGAGGTTGCTTAGGGAAGAACTTAACGAGGAGATACAGGAGCTTAATGGAGTACTAACCCTGGAGATCTGCATGATTCATGATGAACTTGAAAGGTTGAAGCAAGGTGATAGCTACTTATGTCTCATTCTTCTATGTGTGTTTGCTGCTATCGCCTACGTGTTTAAGTAGTTCATAGTTTTCTGCTAACTGTTTAGGCGGCTTTTGTTAAGTACTTTTTATGATGTTGTAATGGAAGATGTTATTTATTGGATTACTCTTTATTGGTGAGTCAGTAAAGATAAGCCATAACTAACAACGAGTTAATGCTATTTATTGGTGAGGTTGGATTACTCTTTCAAGCAAGACGAACCCGATAATTCTCCTTAGGCAAACCAGACATTGCTTGGGTGGGCAGAAATAAGGTTAGACATCACATCACTTAACTTTTAAATGAATATGGTTGGTTTAGGTTAGCAAAGTAGTTATTGTATTTGTTAAAGCTGGTAGGTAACTCGATATGACAACCATTACTAAACCCTTGAAACTTTAAAACACCAATCCTAACTTTCTTAAATATAAAAAACCCTTGAATCTTTAAAAAAATTGAATATCCAAACCTTCTACACTTTCCTTTCCCTCTCAACCTACCTAAACTCTCAAACAAAATGGACTCAGCGAATTCATTTGGGAACTCGCCAGGGTTCGTTAACCTCTTAGCAAGCCAAGAGGATAACACTTTCAACTTTTCCCCAACCATAGATCTTAGCTCATCCGAGGTTCCCTGCTTTAGTAGCCAACTTTCACAAGATGATCCAAGTCCTGTGACTAAAGATCGTGTACCACGGAGGATTTGGTCACCAGTTGAAGACATTGTCCTAATCAGCGCTTGGTTAAACACAAGCAAGGATCCGGTGGTTGGTAATGACCAAAAAGCTGGTGCTTTTTGGTCGCGCATTCAGGGATTCTTCAACAACAGCCCCAAGTTAGCCGACTATCCGAACAGAGAGGCAACGACTTGCAAGCAGAGGTGGGGTCGTATAAATGACCAAGTATGCAAGTTCAGCGGATGTTATGAGACCGCATTGAAGCAGCAGACCAGCGGCCAGAACGACGACGATTTGGTGAAAACAGCAGACCAGCTGTCTAAGCAAGAACTGCTTCAGTCGAAGCATAAAATGCTTGAGATGCTCCTTTCTAAACCCGAGCCACTATCAACAGTTATTGAGGCTTTGAAGACTAAACTGATTAACGAACTGCTGTGACCAAAATTATAATGTAGTATCTTCGTTTATGTAGGGTTTAGGTTTTTTAGTGTCAATGTTCTCGGGTTCTTTCTCATGAAGTTAAGACGTTGTAGTAACTATGTTTTTCAGGGTTAACCTCGTATTTTTAAATTTTTGAAATAATATTGTTGTATCATATGGTCATGACTAAACACGTTTTACTTGTTTGTAGTGGTTGGTGAGGAAGTTTCACTTTGTGGATGTGGTGGTAAAGAATCGAGTGTCAATGTACCCTATGAAGATGTGGTGAAAAAACATTGAGGGGCCTTAGATACTTTGTCATTTTGTGCTATACACCATACAGATTTAGGCTTTTAGGCAAGACATATGTGTAATATTGTATACCACATCTTTCTTTCATGCTTTAGTAACCTGATATGTGCTTCTTCATTATATATATATATTGGCGAGTTGTAAAATTTGTTCCATATGACCTCTAAAATTTGTTCCATAAATCTTACACACTTTATTTCTTTCCATACTTTGTGTTTGCCATGGCTTCATCTTCAAGCAATTCTTTCAATGTTAATTTTGATGATTTCATCGAAGAATCTTTTGAGGAAACTTGGAACAATTACTTTGATCAAACTTTCAACAATGCTCTAAATGAAGTTTTGGAGGAGCATTCCGTTCCAAAGCGCAACCAGAAGAAGAGAGCATATATTGAAAGAAATCGTGAGCAAGGCCATCAGCGTTTATGGGATGATTATTTCAGTGATCGTGCAACATATCCCCCAAATATGTTTCGTCGCCGTTTCAGAATGACCCGACCATTATTCATGCGTATCGTGTCTCGTCTGTCCGAGGAAGTTCCATTTTTCCAGCAAAGGAGAGATGCGATTGGAAGGGTTAGTCTTTCAGCCATCCAAAAATGTAATGCGGCTATTCGTATGATGGCATACGGTTCTGCGGCTGATGCAGTTGACGAGTACCTCCGTCTGGGTGAAAGTACCGCACTTTCATGTTTGAAACATTTTACTGAAGCAATAATATCTTTATTTGGAGATGAATATCTCAGGCGACCCACTGCAGCGGATCTTCAACAACTACTAGATGTTGGGGAAAGCCGTGGATTCCCGGGAATGATAGGGAGCATCGATTGTATGCATTGGGTGTGGAAAAATTGTCCTACAGCTTGGAAAGGGCAATATACACGTGGTTCAGGAAAACCGACAATCGTCTTAGAAGCAGTAGCATCACATGATCTTTGGATATGGCATGCGTTTTTCGGACCTCCAGGTACTTTAAACGACATTAACGTTCTTAAGCGATCACCTGTTTTTGATGACATTTTACAAGGTCGTGCGCCAAAGGTTAAATACTATGTCAATGGAAACCAATACCGTTATGCATACTACCTACCCGACGGTATCTACCCGAAGTGGGAAACTTTTGTACAATCAATACCCCTACCGCAAGACCCAAAAACCAGATGTTTTGCTAAACATCAAGAATCCGTCCGCAAAGATGTCGAACGTGCATTCGGAGTTTTGCAAGCTCGGTTTGCGATTGTAAAAAACCCAGCTCTCATTTGAGATAAGCAGAAAATTGGAAATATTATGCGGGCATGTATCATCTTGCATAATATGATAGTGGAAAATGAACGAGACCATTACAATCTGGTTGATACAACAGAATTCGAACAAGGCGATCTTACCAGATGTTCCCAAGTTGGTATGTCATTCTCTACAGATTTAGCTTCAAATATCGAAAATATGATCGGTATTCGTAATGAAATTCAGGACAGAAAAACACATGATCTATTACAAGCGGATCTACTTGAGCATATGTGGCATAAATTTGGACATCTAGAAGATTATTAGTTTTACTTTTACTTTTGTTTTTTTAATTTTTTTGTTTAGTTTCTAATTATATGTACTAAATAAATCTTTTCATTTTAAATAATTCAAATGTTTAACTAAGTTTAAAAAAAAAAATTCAAAAACATTATTGTTTTATTCTGTTGAATCCCAAAATGGGTATCAGGGTTGAACACCCATTTTTCATAACAGGTTCACTCAAAGTTCTTCCACATTCTCTCTCCTCCAAAAATTATTAAAAAATGCTGATGAACCCCATCATGGGGTTCAGGATTGTAGATGGTCTTAGGTTAAATGATCTGCACTAGTAAGACCATCTCCAATGGGAGGATTTTAGAAGAAGCTCTTCATATTATATGTATAGAAAAATAATAATTAAATATTATAGAGGCTTTTAAAATATGAGAGAGAATATTCAAAATCTCTTGTTTGAGAACCTCTCTTTATGTATTTAGAGACTCTTCTCTTTATCTTCATTTTGTACATGATTTCATTTTATATTATTGTTTTGAGAACTCTTACACTTTTTAATAATCCATGGTTGGAGATGATCTAATATGATTGGTACGTTGTGTTTCTGTACCACTTCATAACTTCATGACCCTTTTTGTATCGCTGCACCATTCACTAACTATGTATTCATACAGTGTCAATTTGTCATACGTTTTAAATTAATTGGACGTTAGAACGATTGTAATGAGTAATTTTGTTATAGATTTAGTGAATGAAAAAGTTGTCACAAATCCATCGTGAATAAAGTAGTACTCCATAGGCCATAGACTAACCTTTTCTTATATAAAATGAACCCAACATTATCTGAGTTCATGCCTTTTTTTTCATGCCTTTTTTTTTTCATGCCATTTTTTTTTCATGCCATTTCCACGAGTTTCTTCTCGTTTTTTACAAACCAGTTTTTTTTTTTTTCAAATCTGTTCTTTACCATTTTTAGATATATTTTTTTATCATCGGATTAGGACAATAAATAGGTTTATAAATTTACCACATGACGATAGCAAAGTAAAGAATTGCTTTCAAGGTATAGGACATAACTCAGTTTTTGTTATACGCAATATATGTTTAATAATTAGTTTGGATTTCATTCACTGTAAGTAAATATAATTTATAGGTTTGTTAAACGTATGACTTAATGCCTCCCCTCCCAATCGGATCAACCTCGTGGCGGACAGAAAATTAAATGGATTAGGTTATCTAATTTTAACTACTTTTCATTAAGACTATGAACAAAGTTACATAAAGTATATAAAAAATAAACCTTAGAATATGCACTAATACCAACATGAAGGAAAACAAATACTATCTTTTCTAGGTGATACAGCTGTGTTTGGTGCAGACGGGAGCCAGCTTCCTTTCAAAGCGTAATTCTATGTCAATGATTTTGTTAGAGGGATAATGATTAAACAAAGACCATCATTTTCAAAATTTAAAGCAAAAGTGAAATAATACTCTACATTCTCATATAAAGAAAAGAAAAGAAAAATGACAAGTGACAAAATTGATTACTTTATGGACCCCATAGATTTATACAAAGTTCCAAAATTTTCCCCCCTTCTTTCCAGATTTTACACATATTTCACCCCACATTTTCCATTTTTTCCCAGACAGCCCCAAAGAAAAAGGAGAAGAAACACAAACACCCCCAAAAGAGAAAAAAGAGAGATTTTTTTTTATCTCTGGAGCTGAATATCCATCTTGCTCTTCTCTATCTTCTCCATTATAGATCCTACAACAAATTTCATAAAACTCAATTAGCATAAAAAATAAAATTGGAGTCTTAATAAACCCCCAAGAATAGTCTCAGTTTCATTTCAAAATCTCTTATTTAAGAAAAAAAAACTACAAACTTTAACTCACCAGGAGGATAACAAACGGGAGGATCTTCAAAGAGAGAGCGAGAGATTTGTTTATGAGCAACGCCGATATCAAAGAGAACAAGTCCAGAAGAAGGATCATTCACAGCAATGCCTTTGACTGGTAACCAAAGAAAAAGCTCTTCTTGTGTCAAACCTTCAAGCCCAACAAGCCCACCATAGCTTAGATTTGCTCTGATCACACTATCAAAGTATACTCTGTTTTCGAACCGAGCGAAACAAGGGTTCTGTAGTTGAACTTCGAGCTCCCCTGTCTTCTCGTCTAGACTGTAACTCTCCACGTTGTCTGGAAACAACCCACCTGGTAAACCACGAGCTTCGAGGAGGTTTCGAATTGAAGATTGTGAAGATGGAGCTATGAGTTGGAGGAGAACAAGAAGAAGAAGCAGAGACATTTTTTTCTTTCTTTTTTCGGATGGTGAGATTTGTGTATTTTGAAGGGTTTAATGTTTGGTGCTCTGTTTTTGTCAAAAGAGTGGAGAAATGAGTTGTCTTTTTTAGCTTATGAGCTGGTTAGCAATGAGTTGTGATCTGTGAGAAATTTTGTGATTATTTCAAAAATACATATATTTTTTTTGAAACCATGGTATGATTTAAAAATAATCTACTTATTTCTGAATTATATTAGTATTTGTTATATAGTCTCACTCATAGTCTTTTGCCTTAAGTAAAGCCATGTTGAACTAATTGACGTTGTAACATCCGTAAATCACGGTTTATTTCCGGGAAACAATATCATTTTCTTAAAAACATAAATTAGTGGATTTAAGTACCAATCATGGTTAAGTGTATCACACACATTATTCATATGTGTCTCTCTCTTTTTCTTTTTTACTGAATTTGTTTTGGTTTACGTACACTTTAAATGAAAAAATAAATTAGAAAAAGACTATAAATTGGTTTTTCATCTTCAAAACAAAATCCATAGCGACTCCAACAGTATTATCATACTAGATCAAAAATAAAATAAAATGTTGCTGTTAATTATTATAGAAACTGTAAATTTCTCACCAAAAATTCACCAACTGGTTTTGATAGTTTTGATTATGAAGTATGTCAGCAACTGAATTTTTTTTTTTTCTGAAAGAAGATTGTTTCTTCTCACTTCTTTTAAAAAGGTCTCGTTAAGTCAAGTCTTCCCATTTAGACATTATTCTTTTGTCTGGTCTGAAGAATGGTACAAGAAACGTGGACTGTGGGACCAAAAAAAAAAACAAACTGAAGCGACACAGAGTGAGTCGAGAAAGATCACGGCCATAGAAACAGAACAATTAGTACAAACCCTCTACAAATTTTCATATGAACATTTCTTTTTTTGAAATCTCTCCAAATTTCACCTCTATAAAGAAAGGATGCCTTTTTAGTTAAAAATTATATATAAAGTGATAGGATCCTTTATCAAAAAAAAATGTGGTAGGATCCAAAATCTCGTTAGTTTTCAACTTTTCACACTATTTTGTAATAGAATTCAAGTTTTTTTTTTCTTTTTTTGGTCAAAATAGAATTCAAGTTTAAATCATTTAACCGTTGTTCAAAAAAAAATCATTTAACCGATTTTTGTCCAAACCGGACATTATAATCGGACAACCGTTTAATCTGCCGCGTAAACTGATTAAGGAGATTTAATTAAGGATGATGTATATAATTAAACATAGTGATAAACCTAGCCGATAAGAAAGATAGCTTAGACGCCGCCGATAAACTCTCTCACTAGTTGACACTTGACACAATCAGTTTGATCCTTAATTTCAGTTTTGACTTTTTTAACATCCACGTGATGGGCCTGGGCCAAGTCTTACTTTGGGCCTGAAATGTTTTTGCTTAATTCCGAGCTGCTTCTTTAATCGTCAGACCTCTCAATTTCCGTTGCTCGTTTCGTTTCTCCTACAAGCACGACGAAATCAGTAAGCTTTCGATCAATTTATTATTATTTCCTGCTCAATTGCTTCATTGTTTTGTTAATCGTTTGGAGTGGATGGTATTACGCTGATGGATAGTCTTACTTGGAATATGGATACGGTTTCTTGAATGGTTTTGGTAAATTGTGAATGTGCAGTGAGGGTTTCAATCTATCGCAGAGACCAATGAATTATGATTATGATCTTATGATGAGTCACAAACTCACAGCTTTTGATATTGACAAGCTTTGTCCGTTTCTTTTAGTTTGTAAAAATTATGAATATTGAGTTTTATTAGTGACTAGAGAAAGTTTTGATCTTTTTCAGATATCTCCAGTGAATTTCAGTGTTTGAGTTCAGAAGTAATCGAAAAACATGGACTTCGATGACGAAGACAAACCAAAAGAGATTACCAAAACCCGCAGGTTTGCACCTTGTCGAACCGGAAAGTCCAAAAAACCCAAACCAAAAGATGCTCTCTTGAGTTCTGTGAGCAAGAGTGAGCACGACGTTATCCCCAAAGTTGAACCTGAAGTCTATAGTGGCTCCGTTAAAATGGAGATTGATTCAAAAGTGAATAATGAGCCGGAGACAACGGAAGCTGAGTTGATGGAGGTAGATCAGATTTCACTGCAGGAGGAAGAAGAAGAAGAAGAAGAGGAAGACTTTGTTGTTCGTGAGATTGACGTTTTCTTCAATCCGTCTATTGAGGCAAACTCTAAGGTCAGCTCGGGATTTAACCTTCCCTTCACCTATTAGCTTAGATTCTTCGAAAAAGTTGATTTTGCTAATCGTTTTAAGAGGTTTGATATCTCAATGATGTCAGCTTTATGTTCTACAATATCCTCTAAGACCGTCTTGGCGTCCATACGAAATGGATGAACGATGCGAAGAAGTGAGTGTTCTCATTTTCTTATTGTTACTTTCTGCATTTTTTGTTTAGTTCTAATCATTTTGTTTATTTGTGTGCCTTAAGGTTAGAGTGAATCCCTCTACTTCCCAGGTGGAAGTTGATTTGTCTATGAATATCCATTCGAGAAACTATGACTCCAAGTTTGGAAGTAAATTACATTTGACTAAGCAGGTCAGACTTTAGTTCCAAGCTTAAGATTCAAGGTTTGTTCTTTTGATGCAACTTCAATTTTTATTTTTCTTTTGTTGTTGTTGTTTTGTTAGACCTTGACAACAACATGGAAGCAGCCTCCTACTTTGGATTATGCTGTTGGGGTTCTTTCAAATGATAAGGTATATCTTCTTCCATCTTTTCATCGAAGCTTTATAAACATTCTTGCTCTAGTGTGTGTGGGGTATCTTATTGAAATTGGACTTTGCAGTTACACTTGAATCTTGTTCATGGTATTGCTCAGCTCCGACCGTCTATCCAGCATCTTTCATCCATAAAGAAACAAGCAGAAGCTATTGAAGAACCTGTCGGTTTTATTCTTATCCTTTCTTCTCTATGAGTTGTTGTTAGATATGGTTTCGTAAACTTATGTTTCCTATCTTTCTTCTTCTTTTAGAATTGGGTTTCACTCAAGTATCATGGACCTCAATCCGAGTTTTGCTCCAGATATCTTAACGGAATGATGGCGAATGAGAACTCTTCAATAGACTTCAACATGAGCCCGTATGATGTTAACCTTTTCACTGAGTTCGCCTGAGACAACTTATGTTTTTGCTGCTTGCCTTTACTATGTTTTTCTTCTCCTTAATGTCTTCTTGTCTTTTGTTGAAGTGAGGTTTACATCAACTCTCTGTGCCGTCGGAGAAACTCTGAATCAAAACATTCTTCGAGAAGGTGCAGTCTTTATCATATTTTTCAATCAAACTCTGAATCAACCCTTTCTTAAAGATAAATTCTTTTTCTCCTTCAAGGTCTTGACCTCGCTACCGCTTGAAGAACGTGTGCAAAAGCTGCTCTGCCAGGTTGGTAGTAGCTATCATAATCTCAATGAATGCTTGCATTAATATCTGTTCTTCTATGTTTTTTCTAGATCAAGAATATATGGATCCTGCTCCTAAGTTATGAACAAAATGTATGTATAAGCCTGCCCTCTAAACTAACTTGTTCAATCGTCATAACAGGGACCTCCATTATTTCAATACAATGTTCTTAAGCAATATGCTCCAGAGTTGTCAAACGAGGAGTTCTTAAAGGTCCTCCAACGATATGCGTGGTTAGTTCAAGGGTTATGGACTCCCAAAACTAGGCTACTCAAACTAGACAGACCAATAGTAGAGGCTTCAAGGGATTATGTCCTGATGTTGTTCAGCAAGGGTTTAACTATAAAGGAATCTGACGTCAAAGCAACTGGTATCCCTGAGGATAAAATGAAAACTATGTTGACTGTATTTGCCAAAGAAAGGTCTCTGCTATGTGATTGGAAGTTCAAAGAGCCCACTGATGTTTCCTTCATAAAAGCCTACCCGGAGATTGCTAAGGAGCAAGCAGCTTTTTGGAAAGCTATGGAAGATAAGCTTACGTCAAAGATAACCCAAGGAGGAGGAAGAAGTAAAGTTGATGATAACCGGAAGTCTTCATCAAATAGAAAAGCTAATAACCGGAAGAATGTTGTAGGCAAAAATCCTTCAGTTTCTGCTAAACCATAAATCTCAATAACTCATTGTTTCTTAATATGATTATGTATATATAACGAATTAACGATCATTTAAGGGTCAATTGAACAAATTTTTTGTTTTGTTTACTATTTCCTATTAACAAAAGGTGTTAATAATCAGGAACCGTTAGATTAGATTTATATTGGACGGTAAAGGATGTGGTAGTAGTAGATAAACTTACATGAGAGCGAAACACAGGAAAAGCAAATCTCCTAACTTTCTCAAATCTCTAGGGCTTTCCGATTTGGATCATTGATTCAGACACCTGAGTCGTCTTCTCTTCTACACAATTCAATCTTCCATTCGCCAATATGCCGCAAAGACACTCGAAGAACAACAATGATCTTGCGTATTTCACTTATGACGAGAAGAAGAAGTTAGGGTATGGAACTCAGAGGGAGAGATTGGGGAAAGACTCGATTAAGCCCTTCGATGCTTGTTCTCTCTGCTTGAAGCCTTTCATCGATCCGATGTGTTGCCACAAGGGTCATGTCTTTTGCAAAGAGTGTATCCTCGAATGTTTCCTTGCTCAGAAGAAAGATATCCAAAGGTACAAACTTTGGTGTTTTTTTCCTTTCAAAGTTGCGATATTTAAGCTCCCCAATATTTGGTATTTATGAAAATATGAAAAATTTGGATTGTGATTGAGATTGATTGAAGTTTCTAGCTTTAGGAACTAGATAGGATTGTTGAATTTCCAGCCTTTTCATTGTTCAACACTATGGATTGTGATTGATCTTGACTGAAGTTTCTAGCTTTAGGAGCTAAATAGATTTGTTGAATTTCCAGCCCTTTCATTGTTGAACACTATGGATGGATTGTGATTGAGCTTGATTGAAGTTTCTAGCTTTAGGATCTATATAGGATTGTTGTATCTCCAGCCTTTTCATTGTTGAACATGTTGGATTGAATGAATATGGTGTGAATCTGATGATTGAGGTTCTTAAAATCAAGTCTCAGTTATGCCTGTATAGGAATAGTTGGATTTCATTCAAAAATCTTATCTTTATTTACTGCTTGATTTAGGGTTTTTATAGTAAGAGTTAAGACTTTTGAAGAAGGAGTATTGGTTTTGTTGCTACTAGTCCCCACAATGTTTGAAAACGAAAAGCTGATATATTTTGCTTCTGGAGATCTCAGGGTTTGCCTTTAGTTCCGTTTTATGTTTTAGCTTGTATATGGATAATCACAAGAGTTAAAACAGTTGGAGCTGACTCTACTCACTTGTTAGGACCTGTTGGGACTTTTAAAATTACACTTAAAGATGATCATGACCTGATAAGTAGTACTAACATGTTCTTAGGAGGCTTGCTGCTCATGCTTCTCAAAAGAAACAAGATAAGGATGAAGAAGAAGAGAGGCTGATGTTACAAAAGGCTAGAGAGCTCGACGAATTTGATCAGCAAAACCATAGTGCAATGCCTCGACACAGTGACAAGAACCACAACCAAGACAAGAACGGTTTTCATGGTGCAAACAGTGTGAAGACAACTTCTTTTGAAGAAGAAGCGCTTAAGACGATGAAAGCCTTCTGGCTTCCATCAGCTACACCAGCAGCTTCAGTGAGAGTAGATGCTCCAGAAACTCACACGGTCTGTCCAGAGGGCAAAGAGAAGCTTAAGCTGAAAAACCTCTTTGCTATTCGTTTCACGGAAGACAACAGCGAAGAGGAAGAGAAGAAAATACAATCGTCATCTTCAAGCTCTTATGACAAAACCTACATTTGCCCGAGCTGCAAAGTCACTCTCACTAACACGATGTCCCTTGTGGCACTTAGCTCATGTGGGCATGTTTTCTGCAAGAAATGCGGTGAAAAGTTTATGCCCGTCGACAAAGTCTGTCTTGTGTGTGACAAACCTTGCAAGGACAGGAACTTGGTTGGGTTGAAGAAAGGAGGCACAGGTTTTGCTGAACACGACGATCATCTTGAGGCTAAGGAGTACAAGCATTTAGGTAGTGGCTCTGGTTTGGGGCTTGTGAGGCCGGTTAAGACATGATGGAAACCATATCAAATGTTCAGTTTGCAATTACAGAACATATCTTTGATTTTGTATACGTCAAACTCCTTATGGCCTGTATCCTTTGCTATAACTAAGAGACACTTCTTTCTTTCTTTTAATCGGATCCTATTTGTGTTTCTTCCGTATGCAAGTGATTTCAACTGATCTATCGATTCAAATCTTCTTCTTTTTTAAGTTATGATTTACATCTAGTCAAATAGTATAAAGATCTTAACAAATACGCAACTAAGAAACATGTGCAGAAAGTCACGCGGTAGACTTTTGTTATGATTCTTCGGATCTTGAAAGAGACTACACAACTCTCAACTCTTCTTAACCCTTATGCCTTTAACAACTTGACTTTGAAACTCTCTCTTAAGACCTTTGTGAAGTTGTTTCGAGGTTTCTTCTTCTGATTTCCAGGTCCAAACAGAAGTAAACTTCGTTGCAAAAACCAGTTTGTTCGTTGCTAATTCAATTCAAGAAAAATGGGGATGACTCTGGGAAGGCCATTTTTCCAAGAAACCGAGTCGAGAATATTGATGTTAGGTCAAATACTGCACAAACTCGAAACCGGACATATCCTTACCACAAACATACCTACCAATCAAACAAACAACCACTCTTTTCTGATTTTCAATCTACTCGTTATAAATTCCTTAAAAACGGATCCATTGTTTCAAGAATTGGAGGTGGCAAGCATAAAATACAAGGATTCAACCTTAAAGTTTTGGGAAATGGGCGGCCAACTTCGTTACAGGGTAGGAGGAAATTGTTAATTTTAGAATCATCAAGATCATATCTGATGATTTGTTATTCAAAAAACATTTCATATGTTTCCATTATAGACACATAAACATTACTTCCCAGAAACATAGCAGCAGGGCCGGATCTGGGCCAAACCCATTGAAACATTTGTTTCAAACACCCAAATTTTTTTGTCCAATTTAGCTTAAAATTTTTTTTTAAAAAAAAAAAAATTTTTTTATAAAAGCAATTAGACCTTCATTTTTGTTTTTGTTTCAAGCCCCCAAAATCTCAGATTCGGCATAACAGGGCTTTTGCTTGTAGTTGACAGCACAGACAGAGATCACATAGACAATGCGGAGTATTTTCTTATCACATGGTCATTGATGGGGTTAGATATATAGAAATCAAAGATAACGTAAACTGAAGACTCGTATAAGAAAAACTCTTCTTATTAGCTTTAGAAAATCAACTCAAAACTAAAGCTTCACAAATCTCATAGTTATGCTACAATCTCAGCATCTCCTTATATAGTAATTAGTAGATAACTCCTACATCAATTGGATAAAGCAACTTCTAAATATTCTATCTTATCCTAAACACACTTTGATTAGGATTAATAATTTATTCCTCAAGTTATTCTTTCAAGCTTATCCCAACAATCTCCCCCTTAAGCGTGAAGTCATCATTTGACACAACTTGAACTCCTAAGAGATCTTGGAATTTAATCCTTCCAAGTGCATTGATCAAAATGCCTGCCTTTTGCTCAGTTCCAAGGACATGTTCGACCCAACACTTGCTCATTCTCAACACATTCTCTAATGAAGTGATACCGCCTATGGATGTACTTGCTCCTTCTATGGAAGACTGGGTTTTTAGTTAATGCAATAGCCGACTTGTTGTCAATGCGCACTATTACCTTTACACAATCTGTTCTGATAACCTCTCAAAGCAATTCCTTAAGCCAGATAGCCTGTTTGGCGGCTTCAGTAGCTGCCATGAACTCTGCCTCGCAAGAGGACAAGGCCACCGTTTCTTGCTTCTGTGAACACCAAGTTATTGGACATTCATTGAGATAAAACACATGTCCTTCCGTATTTTTGCCATCATCTGCGACTATTATCGCTATAGCCCATAAGACCTGTTGTACTTGCACGTTTGAACTTAAGTCCGAGAGAAAGAGTGCCTCGCAAATACCTTAGGATTTGCTTCAAAGCTGCTTCATGAGATTCCTTAGGTTCCTGCATATACCTGCTTAAGACACCCACACTGTAAGAGAGATCTAGTTGAGTGTGAAGCAAGTATCTTTATATGACGTTTGATGCCATGTATAACAGATACAAGGCCTAGGCTTCTCTTCGTCAAGAAAACTGGCAAAGAAACTGGTAAGAAGAAGATCAAAGCTTTTAAGACTCTAATTTTACAAAGAGGGTTGATATTTCTGATGATCTGTGTTTTGATTTTCCATTGTAAGGCATGTCCAGAGCTCATGTGCATTCTTTGGTGACAGTTTACAAGATGTAAGAATGTGTCCTGAATTGAAAGTTTTGAAACTTTCGGGTTATACCGATAATTGCAAAAAGTTCTATAAAGCGACGCGTAAACTAATGGTGACCTGGTGGGTATATAAACTTGACCGAAACTGAAAATTGTTTTTATTTCAATCGACATATTTATGGTTTTCTTACAATATAAACTCAATTAAAACTGAAATTTTGTGTAATCAAACTAAACTGAATCAAATGTAATCAAACTAAATTGAATAAAATGTATCTAAAATTCATTTGGAATTTGAGTAGATACGATTATACGATTGAACTTAACTGGATCGGATCAAAAACTAAAATTTAGTCTAATAAAAAACTAGGATTTCACAGAATTTTTTTTTTGGACAAATCATCAATATCTAGACACTCGGACTAATTCAAATCCATTTGTATCGTTAATTTCGTTTATATTATCTCTTATGAAACTATGAGTAAATTATCTATCATTATGCTAGCTTGAAGAAATTAGAATACATTATGCTTAATTATTTTGCTTATTACGTAGCTCATATCTAGTTTTTCTTCTTCTTTCATTTGACATTGTTTTTGTCGTCTTAGGACTTTGTTAAACCTGTCTTTTTTTAAAAAAAAAACAAAAAAAAAAAAACTCTTTGTTGGAGAATAAGTGTAACTTCTAGTTGATTTGTTCATCTTCTTATATTCAATTGTGATTATTCTCTATCATGTTCTATACGAAAATTTGAAATTACTTATAAATTCTATTCATCATTATTTTGAAAAGCTGCACATTAATCGTCAAATTGTTTCTTTTTTTTTTTAAATGATTAGAAAGTAGATTTTTCACTCTTTAGCAAAAAAAAAAAAAATGTGACAACCGTAATTGATTCAAATAATGAGATCACATTACATTATTTTTGTTGATTTTGCTGATCGTTCAGTGGCAATGAAGATGTACTAAGCTAACATCAAATGGAAAAGAGAAAGGGGCTTAGGTTTCAGAAACATTCAGGCCTTTAATGATGTTTTCCTTGCTAAGCTAAGCTGGAGGATTCTGAGGAAACCTAATAGCTTTCTGGCGCGAATTGTAAAAGGGAAGTACTTCAACCTAACTCCAAGGAATGGAACGTTGAGCTAGTCCACTACCCAAATATGAACAAGACGTTATCTGTATTAAACCGAGCCTATCCAATATAGACAATCAATTCATCTGGTTACCTCAAGCTTCAGGAGAATACTCCATGAAAATTCCCAAGCGATGCGATTAGATACCACACAGATGGAGCGTAGAGAGCAGAGACGAAGATCGGAGGCATGTGATGAGTTTTCTCCAATAATCTAGGTGAAGTGCTGAAGCAAGGATCGCATGCATCGCCTTTCATCAAATCCCCAATCATAGTGGAAGCCATGGCGATCCATCTGGCACTGAATCAAGGGAGAAATCTGGGCTTTCAGGATCTATGTATAGCTTTAGACTCTCAACAACTGATTAGAGTGATCAAGGAGGGAAGATGATTCTCGGAAATTTATGGAATCATGTTTGATATTTTCACTTCGATCTCTCAATTTTGCAAGATCATGTTCATGTTTGTCCCTAAGGAATGTAATATTCAGGCTGATTCTATAGCCAAATAATCACTCTGAGCCTATTGATGGCCCGTGAGGAGAACCATAGGCCTTAGTGCTCTTTAATTAATTTTTAGAACAAAAACAAAAAAAAAGCTAACATCAAATGTGGATTGTTCACATTAAATAGAAAGCTCATTTAAATTAGATTGTTTATGTTTTTACCTATAAGGAAATCCTAAAACAATATGAGATATATTATTTTTTTTTTGTTACATTTAATGATCTGAGTCATTTATTTTGCTTGATGTTTGTTGTTTTGTTAAGTAGTATGGTCAAAAAAATTAAGCTCTTTCACACGTTTCTTATTAATTTAGAAGGAAGCTGTCAAATGTGTTACTGACGATCAAAAAAGAGATGTCCAAGACACTCTTTCGAGCGATACATCATTCTTAATTTTTGAAAGGATGTTTTTATAATACACTGGGTCATGTTTTCCAAAATAAAGGTTTGTTAAAACAATGTAAATTTTTCTATTTGATTATAATCTTACTTCAAGTGAATGAATGTAATAATATCTATTCTTTTCTGGTGATAAAATGATCAATCTATTCTATTAAAACAGAAGCACTTTTAGTACTTGCTTCCAAACACTCCTATTTAAAAAAATATATATATTTGGAGTTTTAAAATTATTCTAATTTATTACAATATTATTTAAAAACATATTATCTTTTATATATAAATTTAATTCCGAAAATTAGATATTAGTTTAGATATTTAAAGATTTCCTTAAATATAGGTTATATTTAATTTAAAATTCAAACTATTTAATTTTTGTATTATATCTAATTCTGAATAATAGATATTAATTTAAATTACTTTAGATTTCCTTAAATATAGGTTCATTTAATTTAACATTTGAAATTCAAATAATATTTTCAGAATAACATATGATTAACGAATATTTTATTGTATTTATTTAATCATATTCAACGAGACTAAAATTTCATATATTAAAAACTGATAAATATTAATATTATATAGTAATTTGATGGATGAGTTAGTTTTTTTTTAATAATTATGGTCTTATGCGGTTTGAGTTATCAAAATATGCAAGATATTAAAATAAAAATTATTTCAAAATGAGTAAATATTGACGGGTTAGAATTATAGTTTTATAACCATAGTCCTTTTCGGACTAATAAAATGAGCGAGTTATATATATGTTTTATAATAACATTTATTTTTCAATTAAGAGAATTACCGGATTAGAATTATGTTTTCATGATCGTGGTCATAATAATACTAGAAAAAAAAGTTTAAAATATATATAGATTGTTTATGTGTAAATTTAAATTCACATAATAATAAAGCTCATAATTTATACTAGATCGATATATATTTAATTAATCGATACTCTTATTCTAGTAATATACAAATCTATACTATTTAAAGTTAAAACATGATAACAAATTTCTTGATTTAAAAAATAAATAAATAACAAAATAAATTATATCTAAACAAAAAAATAAATATAAATTATATTAGAAAAAAACAAAATATTCCTGTGCGTCTTTATTTCCGTGCGTCCGCACGGAGTTAGAATCTAATAAGAGGTTAAAAGTCGATGAACCCAGCACTACTTAAATGGACAATGTAGAGGTAACCAAACAAGATGTAGCAAAGCTGGGCCACAACAAACTCGAGCCCACTACAGAAAGGAAAGATTTGTGCCTCCAAATCGAAAGTCAGCCCACTGAGAAACAGAGTTCTGCAACGACTATCTCTGCAAAAAGCAGAGCTTTAAAGGACAAAGCACTGTACAGACCAGATAGTGTCACTCTAAAGAACAAATTAGAATCATTTAGAGAAGATAACTCTTAGCTGGCATTTTATATTTTTGTCTCTTTGTGATTCTAGGATTTTCCTATTTTCCCTATATAAAACACCTTATTGTAATGAGTTGTTCTTAACTTGAGATGAATACATAAAAAGTTCAGTTCTTTATTTTCTCGAGTGCTCGATTTCTTCTTGTCTTCATGGTATCAGAGCACTAGGTGTTCCATGGAGACATTTACAGTCCATCCTTTCATAATCAGTAATTGTGTCACAGCTACTCTCATTGCACGTAACTACATTCTCTGGAAGTCTCAATTCAAAAAACTTTCTCTCGGGTCAAGGGCTTTTCGGCTTCGTCACTTGAGTAATCCCAGCACATAATCTTACCATTGACTTTCCTGGAATCAATGGTACTACCACTGTGACACCAAACCCTGACTACACCACCTGGATCAGAACAGACAGTGTGGTCAAGTAATGGCTTTGTGGTTCCTTTGCAAAAGGCATTCTCAGTGTTGTTGTCAAATGCTCTACATCTCAGGAGGTACGGCTCACTTTGACAAAGCACTTCAATCGTGTGTCTTCCTCTCGTCTGTTCGAACTCCAACGTCATCTACAAACCTTTTCCAAGTTGTAAAAACCAATGGATGAGTATCTGCAAGAAGTTAAGGGTCTATGTGATCAGTTAGCTTCTGTTGGGAGTCCAGTCACCGAGAAAATGAAGATCTGTGCAATGCTTCATGGTCTGGGACGCGAGTACGAGCCCATCAAAACCAGTATCAAAGGTTCCATGGATCTCAATTCGGAGATGATGTTTGATGATGTGGTTCCTAGATTGAAAGGCTATGATGATCGTCTCAAACTCTATGTCAGCAAAATTACAGTTTCACCTCATCTTGCCTTCAATGTCACCACTTCTGGTATTGATTCAAACTTTACTGATTTCTCCAACTTTCGTGGCAGTGTTAATACAAACTTCAGATTTGGCATTAACCGTGGAAGAGGGTTGTTCTCTACTAGAGGTCAAGATTTCCACCAGCAAATCTCCTCTGGAAACTCTGATTCTCTGTCTGATAATCGCTCTCGTGTCAGATTTGTGGTAAATATGGTCACGTTGCTCTCAACTGTTTCAAAAGATTTGATCTTGCTTATCAATGTGATGAAGTTTCTACTGTAATGTTGGTTTTTCGTGTTTCTGAAACCACTCCTCACTCTGGCAATGAATTGTTTCTGGTGCCTCTGCTTACATCACCAACTCCACTCAGAACCTGCAAACTGCTCATGAATACCATGATTGTGATTCTGTTCTAGTTCGAAATGGAGAGTTTTTACCGATCACACACATTAATTCAGTTCCACTTCCCACAGTGTCAGGTACTTTATCTCTAAAGGATGTCTTTGTCTGCCCTAATATTATTAAAAATTTGCTGTCTGTCTGTAAGCTTACTGCTGATTATTCATGCTCCTTTACCTTTGATGCTAATGGTGTTTATGTAAAGGACAAGCAAACACAGCAGATCCCGACACAAGGAAACAAGCATGAGGACCTCTATGTTTTGGAGAATCCATCATTTACAGCCTTTTATTCCCCTAAGCATCAGTGTACAATGATGATGTCTGGCACAAAAGACTCGGTCGTCCAAGTTCAGAGGTTCTCCATCATTTATCTCGAAGTAGTGCTATCTCGATCAATAAACACACCAACAAGCTGTGTGAGTCGTGCCAGCTTGAAAAGAATGTTAGACTTCCATTTTCTTCGTCTGATTTCACTGCTCTTAGATTTAGCAAATGTGGTATTCTATTAAAATATTTTATCTGTTAACAAATATTATTGTAATAACAAAGAATATACTTATTTGTCATTTTTATTTTCTTTTTCATCAAAAGTACATTTACCATTCTTTGCTAATCTATTTTATTACAAGAATTTCCTATTTTACTTTTTTGTATACAAGAAATTTACGTGATTGAATATAGATAATTATTTTGAACCAAAATAAAGAATATAGATAGTTGTTTTATGTCTATATATGCCAACATTAAAAAATTGTATGTTTCAACATTTTCTGTCAATGACTTTTCTGTTTCTCACAACATTAATTTGAACTTATAGGGATTGAACTTAATCCTTGAACCAAAACTTTATGTTTAATGAAATTATTTTAATAACTGTCTCATTTTATTTTTTATTTTTCATAAATGGATTTTCGAAACTCCAAATCCATATTATAAAAATAACTGGAAGAGAAAATTTTGTTTCATTTTCTTCCACTAAATTTTATTTCTTTATATCAAATCAAAATTACAATAACATGCAATAACCCACGCGTAGAACAGGCTTTCACCTAGTTTATTTTGTAATATCATGGTATTACAAAACCAACTAATCTATAGATAGTTGTGCACAAATTATGCATGAAACCAAGCAGAATGATAAACCATTTCATTTTAAGTGGTCAATTATATTCTTTAAATAGCATAAAATTGCAAATTTTCAAATCTATTTGTAAAAACACCAGACTATTGGTTTTATCAATGCCATAATAAGTTATCATAGTAAAGCTCATAAAAATAGAAAATATAAAGTAGAATTTTTATGGAAAAGAAAAAACCAGACTATTTTAAGAATAATTAGACAAAAAACTTAAAATAAAATGAATTAGTTTGTTAATGTTTCATGGTGAATGTCATTATTTTTTATGCTTGAACTAAGATCAAGTCTGACGAGACATTATAGTATTCTACTTTTTGGCAAAGAAATGTGACAACCACAATTCAAATATTCCACTTCATCATATCAATGACCATGAAAAGATATATTATATTCTAGTTAGTATATGACGAACTTTGTTGATTTGGTAATAAAATTGGTGACTATCAACATTATTGTTATGCTTATTCACTTATCAAAGGTTTTGAATGCATAGACTAGGCGCGCAAAACTAGATTTTCCTCGAAGTATGGTGTCAAAATGAATCACATCAAATGACATAAGAGCATTTTATTAATGTTCACAAGGCGTTGCTACTTACAAATGCGCACAAAACTGGATTTTCCTCTAAGTGTGATGTCAAATTTAATCACGTGAAATGACAAAAGAGCATTTTTATTGTTCACAAGGCATTGCTACTTACAAATTCAACGCATCACCGATACTTAAATGCTTTGGTATCTTCACTTCTCAATTTTCTTTGGTTAGTAATATAAGTGATGCAATTCAAATAATTTTTTATGTTATATTTGTTTTGTAAATTATGCATGAAAACAAGCAAGATGATGAACCATTTCATTTTAAGTGGTCAATTATATTCTTTAAATAGCATAAAAATTGCAAATTTTCAAATCTATTTGTAAAAACACCATACTAATGTTTTATCACGCAATGCCTTAATAAATTATCATGATAAAGCTCATGAAAACAGAAAATATAAAGTAGAAATTTTATGGGAAAGAAAAAATCAGACTATTTTAATAATAATTGGACAAAAAAACACTTAAAATGAAATGAATTAATTTGTTAATTTTTCATGGTGAATGTCATCATTTTTTTATGCTTGAACTAAGATCAAGTCTGACGAGACATTATAATATTCTACTTTTTGACAAAGAAATGTGACAACCACAATTCAAATATTCTACTTCATCATATCAATGACCATGAAGAGATATATTATTTTCTGGTTAGTATATGACGAACTTTGTTGATCTGGCAATGAAATTGTCCTTTCTTTTTTCTCCCAAGATTATCAGGTTCTGAAGGTTTCCTTTTCCTTTTCCTTGCAGGATTTCCTGCATCGTCATAAAATTATGTTACTTGCAAGAAAACTCAAAAACCAATTAAAGAAGTCTCAAGAACAGTTATGATTACTTACTAGGCTTTATAATGCTAGGAGAATATTTGACTTGTGGTTTAGGCAGGCGGGACGATCTTCGCACTTCCCTCTCTGTGTTATCTTCTGCTTGCGGTCGTCGCAGGCGGGTTCGTCTTCGCACTTCCCTCTCTATGTTATCTTTTGCTTCGACCTCTTAATCTCCCGAGCGTTCCGGAAGCCCGGACATTCCCATGACAGCAGAAGAGGGCCTGGCCAAGACGGATTGGTTGAGGTGGGCTTCTGGTTCTTTCTCTTGATCTTTTTCGACCTCATCTCTTTCTTGACCACTCTGGTTATTTTCATCGCTATCAGTGAAATCATCCTCGTGATCTTCTCCAGTTTCTGATTCGTCCTCTCCATCGCTATCACGTACAGGAGAAGGGAAATTATCATCTTGACCACAAGAATCTTGTTCAATAGGCAATATGTTACTAATAGTCTGATCCACAATCCCCTGGTAATTTTTATCGCTAGAAGTGAAACCATCATTCATGTGCAACAGGTGATTTAAGAGCATTTACTTCTATTTCACCTCTGTTTCCTAAAGAGGTGATGTTGTACCTTGAATAACAAAACCAACTAATATATAGATAGTTGTGCACAAATTATGCATGAAAACCAGCAACATGATGAACCATTTCATTTTAAGTGGTCAATTATATTCTTTAAATAGCATAAAAATTGTAAATTTTCAAATCTATTTGTAAAAACACCAGACTATTGGTTTTACTACGCAATGTCATAATAAAAATTATCATGGTAAAGCTCATGAAAAAAAAATATAAAGTAGAATTTATATGGAAAATAAAACCAGACTATTTTAAGAATAACTGGACAAAAAAACTTAAAATGAAATAAATTAGTTTGTTAATGTTTCATATGAATGTCATCATTTTTTATGTTTGAACTAAAATCATATTTACTTCTTGGTAAAGAAATGTGACAACCACAATTCAAATATTCTACTTCATCATATCAATGACCATGAGGAGATATATTATATCCTGGTTAGTATATGATGAACTTTGTTAATCTGGCAATGAAATTGGTGATTATCTACATTATTGTTATACTTATTCACTTATCAAAGGTTTTGAATGCATAGACTAGGCGCGCAAAACTAGATTTTCCTTGAAATGTGGTGTCAAAATGAATCACATCAAATGACATAAGAGCATTTTATTAATGTTCACAAGGCGTTGCTACTTACAAATGCGCACAAAACTGGATTTTCCTCTAAGTGTGATGTCAAAATAAATCACGTGAAATGACATAAGAGCTTTTTTATTGTTCACAAGGCATTGCTACTTACAAATTCAACGCATCATCGATACTTAAATGCTTTGGTATCTTCACTCCTCAATTTTCTTTGGTTAGTAATGTAAGTGATGCAATTCAAATAATATTTTTATGTTACATTTGTTTTTTAAATTTATGCATGAAAACAAGCAAGATGATGAACCATTTCATTTTAAGTGGTCAATTATATTTTTAAAATAGCATAAAAATTGCAAATTTTTAAATCTATCTGTAAAAACACCATACTACTGGTTTTATCACGCAATGCCATAATAAAGTATCATGGTAACGCTCATGAAAACAGAAAATATAAAGTAGAATTTTTATGGGAAAGAAAAAACTAGACTATTTTAAGAATAACTGGATAAAAAAAAACTTAAAATAAAATGAATTAGTTTGTTAATGTTTCATGGTGAATGTCATCATTTTTTATGCTTGAACTAAAATCAAGTCTGACGAGACATTATAATATTTACTTTTTGGCAAAGAAATGTGACAACCACAATTCAAATATTCCACTTCATCATATCAATGACCATGAGGAGATATATTATATTTTGGTTAGTATATGACGAACTTTGTTGATTTGGCAATGAAAGTGGTGATTATCAACATTATTGTTATGCTTATTCACTTATCAAAGGTTTTGAATGCATAGACTAGGCGCGCAAAACTAAATTTTCCTCGAAGTATGGTGTCAAAATGAATCACATCAAATGACATAAGAGCATTTTATTAATGTTCACAAGGCGTTGCTATTTACAAATGCGCATAAACTGGATTTTCCTCTAAGTGTGATGTCAAAATGAATCACGCGAAATGACATATGTGCATTTTTATTGTTCACAAGGCATTGCTACTTAAAAATTCAACGCATCACCGATACTTAAATGCTTTGGTATCTTCACTCCTCAATTTTCTTTGGTTAGTAATGTAAGTGATGCAATTCAAATAATATTTTTATGTTATACTTGTTTTGTAAATTATGCATGAAAACAAGCAAGATGATGAACCATTTCATTTTAAGTGGTCAATTATATTCTTTAAATAGCATAAAAATTCCAAATTTTCAAATATATTTGTAAAAACACCATACTACTGGTTTTATCACGCAATGCCATAATAAATTATCATGGTAAAACTCTTGAAAACGAAAATATAAAGTAGAATTTTTATAGGAAAGAAAAAACCACACTATTTTAAGAATAACTGGATAAAAAAACTTAAAATGAAATGAATTAATTTGTTAATGTTTCATGGTGAAGTCATAATTTTTTTATGCATGAACTAAGATCAAGTCTGACGAGACAATATAATATTCTACTTTTTGGCAAAGAAATGTGACAACCACAATTCAAATATTCCACTTCATCATATCAATGACATGAGGAGATATATCATATTCTGGTTAGTGTATGACGAACTTTGTTGATCTGGCAATGAAGTTGGTGATTATCTACATTATTGTTATGCTTATTCACTTATCAAAAGGTTTTGAATGCATAAACTAAGCACGCAAAACTAGATTTTCCTCGAAGCATGGTGTCAAAATGAATTACATCAAATGACATAAGAGCATTTTATTAATGTTCACAAGGCGTTGCTACTTACAAATGCG